TACAGAGTTTTTACCCGACAACGGCACAACACTGACAGTTTTAGGCAGAATATTTAAATTTTAACTAAGATGCACTAAAGTGCAAAACTACTGACTACACGTGTCTGCAGCACGATTAGACACACATTTATATAGTTTGTCAGAAAAAAAAGTTGATTTGGGGATGACTTGCTCTTTAAACAACAAAGAAACATTCAGACCTAAAGCCACGGCTACGTGTGCTTCTAGAACAATAACCTCCCATTAGAGGCGAAGGCTCTGAATGTGACCAACGACAGAAAAAATTATCTGAACGTTCTGCTAAATCTGCAACAATTCATTTCTGTCTGGTTATAAATATGGTGATGATGTTTCTATGGGCAGGAGTCTACAGAACTGGTTTTACTCACTGTCTGCGAGCCTTTTCCACCTCTTGTTTGGAGGGGAGGTTGCGTCCGTCGAACACCAGGATGGGTTTTTAACGCTGAAGTTCAACAACATGTCTACAAACTTCATACAGTACCACACATACCTGCAACAGGAAACGTGTTAGAGCCGGCGTCACACCTGGGTATTACGTGGTTGTTTTTATTCATTTAATAATAAAACTACCCACTGGTCGGTCGGTTCCCCCTTTGCCAGCTTCTCGGCACAAGAAAAAGCTCCTTTATGCAGCCAGCAGTACGTGTCCACAGCCACCGTCTGGCCTTTGTACTTCTTCACGTTGACGGGCTCTGCTGCATCTTTGATGAACTGCAACAGCCCAGAAATTCCCATTTTCACACGAATTACAGACCTGAGAAAGAATCAACAAATAAAAACTGTTTTACTGACATGCAACTTTAATGCACAGAACAGAAATGATGATCAACTAAACACAAAAAGGCCAATAAGGAGGATTTAGAGAAATCTGGCAGCTTGTAGGGAACCTGCAGAGGGAAGTAAACAGTTAACGAGGTGTTGGTGTTTTCTGATGATGACAGCAAAAGTTCAGGTTGTGTTTGATGGTCAATTCAGATAAGATTCTATTTGCTGTAAATCGAACTTTTTTGTCTTTCTTTGATAATCTACTCAACACTCAGGCATGTTCACTAGAGTAGATGAAGATGTATAGCAGCAATCCTTCTACTGCACAATTTGGGTGAGTTAGCACACGTTTTGTTTAGAAAAAAAAGTTAAAACTTGTGATGTTGGTTTGTGGTTTTGCATGTGCACTGATGTGTGCACAATATCCACTAATCACAGGTGCCTGCAGATCTTCACCTCTCTGAAATAGATGTCACCTTCAGTCCCCAAATAAAAACCTGCAGGACCCTCAGACAGGTTTAAACCTGCAGCTGTTTTCAGTTCTTTTCATTACCTCTTAGCTGAATTTGATCATTTTAAAAGAACTAAGCACCTTAAGTTAACATAAAATCCACCGTTAGGTGTTTAAGAAACCCCTTTTAGCGTTTTTAACATATTCCAGACGAGAGAAAATGCTAAATCCATAAATCTCCAAACATAATTTTGACAAAAAAGCGCCACAAAATAATAAAACAGGTTCACATAACCCAACGGTACTACAACCGACATCCAGGGTACGCGAACTCGAACAGGCAAACCGCTACATATTGTTTTATTTCAGTGGTTTAAAAACGAAATCTTACCTTTTTTTGGTAAATCCTCCACATACACACGGCTGAGCAACGCAGAGCATTAGCGGGTTTGGTTTTAGCGGCAAAAGCTGAGACTCGGGAGAAAGGCTGCTATTGGCTGGATGAGAAAACTGATTTAGTAAGACATGTTACCATTTGTTGTTTGGACGAAGAGGGAGGAGTTAGCAAGATGGCTGTAAAGTAATATTTGGGCCAGCAGGTGGCGACAGTGACACCACTGTAGACTCAGATTTATTTATCTATTGATTGATTTTGTGACTGAATCCGGACTTGATTGATGTTAATTATTTTATTATAAAGATTAAACTGTAGATCAGACGTTTATGTTGATTTAATCATTTTCTCGTTTCTCTTCTAAATAGTTCCCTTTTTAAAAATACACACATAAGAAGAGAAATCAAACAGAAAGACAGACACATTAACTGGAGCAATAACATGCAATGAAGCAAAACCAATTAAATAAGCATGCATTAAACAAAAAGGAGCAGATACAAATACATTCACTAGGTGTGTAAATAATCAATTAAACTATAAATTAATAATAATAATAAATTGCCGAATATTGACTTAATGCAATTTAAAATTACTGATATTTGGATGGATAGCATAAAATGTTTTGTTTTTATAATTATTTGTTCATTATATTTAATATGATAATAGTTGTCATAGTTGTAATGAATTTATTCCTAAACTTTTTGGATCAGTTTAGGATTTTCTCCTTTCAGACTTCCTCTGTGACTGTCTAGAGTTAAGCTGTGCACGTTTCAAAAAGAACCACAGCTGTAGACATGATGAATCTCTACTAGATGTTCATGTGCTGGCAGACAATAATCACACAATACTTCCTGTTCCTTTTTTCTACTTCAGTAAATAAAATAGTGTCTTGCTGGGCCGGCCGCAACAGTCTGTATGTGAAAAGTGATTTCCTGCACATAACAGCAAACATTTAAATTAGCTTAAAGGTGGACTAGTTTACCTAAACAGGATGTCAGAGTTTGTGTTTACCTTAAATGTGTCTGTTTGACATTATGGTGCTGAGGTCTCAAAGATGTGCAAAATGCTCTTTTGCACCAATAAACCATCACACCATCACAAGTAGATCTGTTATTTGAACTTTGCAAAAGCAATTTTTTTTTAATTATTATGTATAAAAAATCCAAACAGTTTTTGTAGCCTCCAGGGTCCTCCAAGGGTGTCCAACGTGTGGCCCACTGGACATCTGTTCTCCTCTAGCCTGGCCTGCCTGACTCCTCCTCTGAGGGATTTGTGCAACCCTCAAGTCAGGACTCATCAGCACGGGCTGTTGATGCAGATACACCTTAAAAATATCATGTTCAGGTGTTTTACTAATGTGAAGTCTGAAAAAAAGCCGATTATTTTTAATTGTTGTGAAGAGAAATGCAAAGGTTTTAAAATAGGTCCATCCATCCATTTTCACCCGGGGTTAGGTCGCGGGGGCAGTAGCCTACAGTGAGAGGCCCAGACTTCCCTCTCCCCGGCCACTTGGGCCAGTTCCTCCGGGGAAATCCCAAGGCGTTCCTTGGCCAGGTGAGGGACATAGTCCCTCCACCGTGTCCTGGGTCTTCCTTTAGGCCTCCTCCCAGTTAGACATGCCTGGAAAACCTCACCAGGGAGGCATCCAGGAGGCCACCTCAACTGGCTCCTCTCGATGTGGAGGAGCAGCGGATCTACTCCGAGACCCTCCTGGATGACCGAGCTTCTCACCCTATCTCTAAGGGAAAGCCCAGCCACTCTTCGGAGAAAACTCATTTCGGCCGCTTGTATCTGCGATCTCGTTCTTTCGGTCACTACCCAAAGCTCATGATCATAGGTGAGGGTAGGAACATAGATCGACCGGTAAATCGAGAGCTTCGCCTTCTGACTCAGCTCTCTCTTCACCACGACAGACCGGTACAACGCCCGCATCACTGCAGATGCAGCACCAATCCGCCTATCGACCTCACGCTCCAGTTTTCCCTCACTCGTGAACAAGACCCCGAGATACTTAAACTCCTCCACTTGGGGCAGGACCTCATCCCTGACCCGGAGAAGGCATTCTACCCTTTTCCGAATCAAGACTATGGTCTCAGATTAGAGGAGCTGATTCTCACCCCAGCTGCTTCACATTCGGCTGCAAACTGCTCCAGCGAAAGCTGAAGATCACATTCTGATGAAGCCAACAGGAACACACCATCTGCAAAAAGCAGAGACCTGATACTCAGGCCACCAAAACGGATGCCCTCACCACCTTAGCTGTGCCTAGAAATCCTGTCCATAAAGGTTATGAACAGAATCATGACAAAGGGTAGCCTTGGCGGAGTCCAACTCTCACTGAGAATGAGCCCGACTTACCGCCGGCAGTGCGGACCAAGCTCTGACACCGGTCATACAGGAACCTAACAGCCTGTATCAGAGAGCCTGGTACCCCATACTCCCGGAGTAACCCCCCCCCCCGAGGGACGCGGTCAAACGCCTTCTCCAAATCCACAAAACACATGTAGACTGGCTGGGCAAATTCCCACACACCCTCCAGGATCCCCCTAAGGGTATAGAGCTGGTCCAGTGTTCCACGGGCAGGACGAAAACCACATTGCTCCTCCTGAGTCTGAGGTTCAACAATCCAACGGACCCTCCTCTCCAGAACTCCTGAATAGACCTTACCAGGAAGGCTCAGGAGTGTGATCCCCCTGTAGTTGGAACACACCCTGCGGTCCCCCTTTTTAAATAAGGGGACCACCACCCCGGTCTGCCAGTCCAGTGGGACTGCCCCCGATGTCCACGCGATATTGCAGAGCAGCATCAGCGTCTTACCGAACTCCTCCCATGCCCGGGTTTTTGCCTTGGCGACCACCCAAGCCGCGTTCCGCTTGGACTGCCGGTACCCGTCAGCTGCCTCTGGAGTCCCACAGGCCAAAAAGACCTGATAGGACTCTTTCTTCAGCTTGACAGCATCCCTAACCGCTGGTGTCCACCAGCGGGTTCGGGGGTTGCCACCACGACAGGCACCGGCGATCCTGCGACCACAGCTCCGGTCGGCCGCCTCAACAATGGAGGCACGGAACAGGGTCCATTCAGGCTCAATGTCCCCCGCCTCCCCCAGAACATTTTGGAAGTTCTGTCGGAGGTGGGAGTTGAAGCTCCTTCTGATAGGAGACTCTGCCGAGGTTCCCAGTAGACCCTCGCGATACGTTTGGGCCTGCCTGGTCTGACCGGCATCCTCCCCCACCATCTGAGCCAACTCACCACCAGGTAGTGGTCAGTTGACAGCTACGCTCCTCTCTTCACCCGAGTGTCCAAGACATGCGGCCGCAGGTCAGACGAAACAACAACAAAGTCGATCATCGAGCTGGAGCCCAAGGTATCCTGGTGCCAAGAGCACATATTGACACCTTTATGTGTGAACATGGTGTTCATTATGGACAATCCATGACTGGCACAGAAGTCCAATAACAAAACACCCCTCGAATTCAGATCAGGGGGGCCGTTCCTCCCAACCACACCTCTCCAGGTCCCACTGTCGTTGCCCACATGAGCATTAAAGTCCCCCAACAGAACGAGGGAGTCACTGGAAAGAGCGCTTTCCAGCACCCCCTCCAAAGACTCCAAATGGGTGGGTAGTCTGAACTGTAGTTAGGTGCATAAGCACAGGCCACAGTCAGAGCTGTCCCCCCACACGTAGGCGTAAGGAGGCTACCCTCTCATTCACTGAGGTAAACCCCAACGTACAGGTACCAAGATGGGGGACAACTGGTATGCCCGCCCCTGCTCGGCGCCTCTCAGTGGGAGCAACTCCAGAGTGGTAGAAAGTCCAACCCCTCTCAATGAAACTGGTTCCAGAGCCAGAGCCATGCGTTGAGGTGAGTCCGACTATATCTAGTCGGAACCTCTCAACCTCACACACCAACTCAGGCTCCTTCTCCACCAGAGAGGTGACATTCCATGTGCCAAGAGCCAGCTTCTGTAGCCGAGGATCAGACCGCCAAGGTCCCTGCCCTCGACTACCACCTGTCACACACTGCACCCGACCCCTTTGGCCCCTCCCATGAGTGGTGAGCCCATGGTAAGGGCTGTGCCCGGCCGGGCTCCATGGGCTCCAGAGGGGGGCCCCGGTGACCCACGTCCGGGCGAGGGAACACGGTTTCCATTTATATAATTCATCATAAGAGGTCTTCGGGCTGCTCTTTGTCTGATCCCTCACCTACGACCTGTTTGCCATGGGTGACCCTACCAGAGGCAGAAAGCCTCAGACAACTTAGCTCCTAGGATCATTGAGACACTCAAACCCCTCCACCAGGGTAAGGTGGCAGCCCAGGGAGAGGCTTTAAAATAGGTTTGTTTCATTAATTAAGTTTAGGTGCTCTGTTGTTTCTCGCCTGCAAGTACTTTCAGTTTGTCCCTGGCTCAAAAGATTTGCAAATCAATGAACAAAGAGCCATCATTACCAAGTTTGAAACTGGGCTTTCATCCACACACTCAATTTTAATTTATTTTATTTTTTCATTTTATTATTGGTGTTTCTAATGTCCGAGCAATGCGACGGGGCCCTGAACACGCGTTAAGACGTGTCTGTTTTCAGCTTCCTCCTGACTTCCGGTTTGTTGACCGCCGCAGCGCTAGGGCTGAACGAAAACAAAATGCAATAATTAAACTTTCCCGATGAGCTGTGATCAATGACAGCTTCATTAACGAGCCTCGGCATATTTCACCAACTGTTCAAGTAAATGCCATTACTCTGGAGCTGATGGGAGAAGCAGCAAAGGAAAAAACAAACATGCAGTTCTCTCCGACAAACGGAGATTTTACCTTCGTCTCCTCTTCGGAAGCTGAGGGTAAGCTAATGCTAGCAGCGCCACACAGCTGTAGGCCGTGACGTTCAACAGCAGCTCTGTTAAATATTTTACATAAGTTTTATTTTGGTAAAACAACGCGTCAGCTCAGTCAGTTAACTTAATTCTCCGCGAAATTATTAAACGTAGAGGATAACTATTTGTACTGTTTATTAGCCTAGCCTAGCATCATGTTCTAGCTGGAATTCCAGCTACATGAATAACAAGTAGATATGAAGTCATTAAACTGATACTATTTTTGTTTCATGAAGGAGATTGAGCTCATTTTTGGACCCATTGCAGATGATTTTGGTCCAGTTCTCCTACATGTACCCACCGGCGCATTTGTCTGTATTTTAGATGACGCATGTGGAACATTAATGTGTTGTTTTATAACATTTGAATCCAAAATAACCCGTAAAACAAAACTTTTATTTTGTGTTTTCGGGGGTTTATTGTATCAATCAAACATATGTCTGACTCCATGTATGATTTATATTAGTATGTATTGAGTCAGTCATTGCTGATCTTCTGGCTGCATAAAGAAATGTTTGTGCATCTTTATGCTGAGTATCTGTGAAGAAAGCCGACAGTCTGAAATCATCTGTGCTCTTCTCAGACCTCAGCGGCACCATCAGCACTCCGGATGTGAAACTAAACATGGACAGTGATGGAGGTAAAGATCCGTACGCCACCACCTTCCTGAGGCAACGAGGCTATGGCTGGCTGCTGGAGGTGGAGGAAGAGGAGAACGAAGAAAGCAAACCTCTTCTGTACGAGGGTTTTCTAATCAATTTTGCTCCTAGCCTTCAGGTTCACATGTCTGATTCTTCTCTACACATTAGGGTGACGGTAGGAAGTTAGAAGAAGTCCCTGATTCACAGACCACGAACAATGAGATCAACAGAAACACTTGAGCTGGAATCCTGTTTATTGTGGATTGTGTTGAGTTGTTGCTGTCGGTCATTGTAGCCGTGTGTCTCCTTTTCAGGGAAGAGCTGGACATTGACCTGAAGGACATCTATTATAAGATCCGATGTGTGCTGATGCCCATGCCATCTCTGGGTTACAACCGGCAGGTCGTACGAGACAACCCGGACTTCTGGGGCCCTCTGGCTGTAGTGCTCCTTTTCTCCATGATCTCCATCTACGGGCAGTTCAGGGTGAGCGGGACACCCACAGCACAGCTGGATCATCTGCTTCCACCAACCATGTTGACCAGTGGCCCTCAGTCTAAATCTGGTTATAACTTATAAATTAATTCCCATCTCCTGTCTGGATCAACACAGCTTTATATCAACACAAAACTCACGATTTTCTGTTTTCTGTCCTCATTATTTTTGCAATAAAACAAACTGTACAGAGTGCGTCTAAAACACCTGATTTTTCTGATTGTTGATTTTATTTATTTCACCATTTAGAGTTATTTTTAGTGTTTTTGCCTCTGAGCCGAGAATATCAGCGGTCTGGGTCTTCTCCAAACTCACACTGAGGCTAAAATGTGGTTTTGTTTGGCAGGTTGTGTCTTGGATCATCACCATCTGGATCTTTGGATCTCTAACGATCTTCCTTTTGGCTCGTGTTCTCGGTGGGGAAGTAAGTTCTGCAGGGAAACCAAACAACCGGCTGTAACTTCTGATTGGTTCAAATAAATCATGTGGTTCCTGTTGGTGTTTTGAGCAGGTTTCTTACGGCCAGGTGCTTGGAGTGATAGGATATTCCCTTCTTCCGCTCATAGTCATCGCCCCTCTGCTCCTAGTGATCGGAAGGCTGGAGGTCGTTTCTACACTGATCAAAGTAAGTCAGAGAAATCTTTTATATCTTTGCTTTAAAAGACAAAATCGCCCGAAATGTTCTTTGAAATGTTGCAAAAAGGGAAAAACTTGCTGTAAAAAGAGTAATCTTTTGTAAAACTTGCAGATAAAAAGGATCAAACCTCACTTTGGTTTTATTGGCTTTAAACTGACTGAATTAATGATGGTGAGAAGGTAATTAGCTGGGATGGCAGCTGAATCCTAAAGTTTGATCTGTGAAACAACAGTAAAGAGTTTTATTAACACAGGATTTGTTTACTTGTTCTGGTCAAGGTTATGTTTCGTTTATATGTTTCAGATCAGCAAAACATTGATCAGACAAAAAAAACGAGTAAATAAAGTAGTTTTTATTAATGTAAAGGTGCCATCTGGGCTAAAGGCGAGACCTGTCAGGTGTTCTGATGTCTGTGTTCTCTCCCTCCAGCTGTTGGGCGTGTTCTGGGCTGCGTACAGCGCTGCTTCACTTCTCGTCGGAGATGAATTCAAAACAAAGAAGCCTCTTCTCATATACCCTGTTTTCCTTTTGTATATCTACTTCCTGTCGCTATATACTGGTGTGTAACTGGACTAGTTGGGCCTCATCACAGACATTGGCCTCGGTCGCACAATAATGAGTTTATTTTAAAAAGGTGTCCATTTCCTTTTTTAACGCTGTTCATTTGAGGGATGTGGGGAAATATAAATATTATCACTGTAAATACTTTTACTCCTGCTGTCTTTGGTTAATAAAATGCTAATAATTTTGCAGCTTGAAGCTCAAAAATGTCTCGTTCAGCCGTGCACTTCTGTCCCTTCATTTTCTCTGTGGTTTATGGTCCTCTGCAGGGTTGTTGGTGTGAGAATAAATGAAACTGAATGATTTGATGTAAATGTGTAAATAATATGTTCATGATGGAGGAACTAGATACGACACTGGGCTTCTGCTCATGTTTTCACTGTTACAGGATGAGAAGGTCACCCATCATCTCACAGATCTGCTGGCTGATTTTTATAACCCTTAAGGTGCCGTTTGGGTCCTGAAAGCAGGCGGGGTGTCTTTCTGCTCCTGATTCTGTTTTAGACCGACTTCATTCAGAAGGAAATCCAACACTCCTCCGCCTGAGGAGGCCTGGCCTTTAGCCTCCCGGCTTCATCAACATCTCAGCTGGACGCATATTTAAGCCATTTTACGTACCTGAATATACGACTGGCCGAGCAAAATAATTTTGCTTCTGCTACACTCTGTCTAGATTTCTACGCTAGATTTATTTCACCTTTAGCCTGATCTTTATGTTTCAGTGGGCTTACAGACCTACTGATGCACGAGCAACATAAATCGTTTTCTCTTATTTATAGCATAGCACATGCTGCTGTTACGCTGAGATTTCTCATCTCCACATCTGAAGGAGACCTGTAGCCAACAAGGGGGAACAATGTTAGCTTTGCATCCCCACTTTGAAAGTTGGGAGGCACCTTCAGTCTGTGAGAACCTTGGTTTGTCTATTTTTAAAGCACATCTTTTAAAGGAACAAATGTTGCTTAAAGAGCAAGTCACCCCCTACCAGAGTCCTACTCCACTCCCACTTCCTGTTTGAAATATGCAACAAATGCTGTTGCCTAGCAGACGGAGAGGGGGGAGCCTCTAACAAATACACACACACACAGGCTCACAACGACATTGTGACATCATATGGTACCAGCTAACATTCTAGGGTACCTCTTAGCCAATAGCAATGGAAGATTTAAATTCAAATGCAGTGCAGAGTTTTTGCCTGACAACGGCACAACACTGACAGTTTTAGGCAGATAATTTAAATTTTAACTAAAATGCACAAAAGTGCAAAACTATTGACTACACGTGTCTGCAGCACGATTAGACACGCATTTATACAGTTAATCAGAAAAAATTGTTGATTTGGGGGTGACTTGCTCTTTAAGGTCCATCTGATTCTGCAGCAGTGAATCCCAACTACCCCTGACGAGAGGCAGTCAGGGGAAACTACCCCTGACTGCCTCTCGGAGATTGGGGCGAGGCTAAATGTGGGGCTACTCGAGTCAAGGTGGTACAGCTTCTTAAAGGGACATGAACGTTGCCAACCTGCACATCTTTTCATTTTTTCAGATCAAATATATTGACGCGGAAAAAATTATCTCGATAAGAGTCAGAAATTTTGATAATGATACATTTTAGATTTATTGCCCAGCCCTGAAGAAGATCAAAGTAAACCCGTAAGCACGGCTTCCTCAATGACCCCAGGCACGCTGGACGTCTCCTGTCTCACCACCCAGGTGACCTCAATGATTGACCCCAGCGTCCATCATCTGAACCGGTGCAGCTGCGCCAACAATAAAAAGCTGACCACCTCATCTGCCACATTCAGACTCAATAGTTTTGCACTTTAGTGCATTTTATTTAAAATTTAAATCTTCTGCCTAAAACTGGCAGTGTTGTGCCGTTGTCAGGTAAAAACTCTGCACAGCATTTGAATTTAAATCTGCCATCGCTATTGGCTAAGAGGTACCCTAGAACGTTAGCTGGTACCATATGATGTCACAATGTCGTTGTGAGCCTGTGTGTGTGTGTGTGTGTGTGTTAGCGTCTCCCCCCTCTCGGTCTGCTAGGCAACAGCATTTGTTGCATTTTTCAAACAGGAAGTGGGAGCGGAGTAATGCTCTGGTAGGGGGTGACTTGCTCTTTAATGAAAATGAAATTGTGAATTTTTATTTATTATTCTACAAATAAAAATGAAAAGAGGAAATGATCATGACGTTTATTAAACTGTTGGTCAAAATGAAAACAAACATGTCTAGCGTAATAACGTGTTTAATTAAGGCCCACCCAGAAATAAAACCCGTGTTAGCGGTTACTTTTAACTTTTACTTGATTATAAACGTGTTGCAGTAGTAGTACGTTGACTCAGGTGATTTATTATCAGCAGTGTTTGAGCTCCATTTGTTTCCCTTCAGGTCGTTGGGATCTACAATGTCGATTGGAGACGATTTCTGAACATTCTGATCCCTATCCTCCTTCACAACTTCATCCCTGTAGGGAAGTGTTCATCCTTGTTCTTTGTATCCATCCTTTCCACTTGTTCTGCTTCGTCTTCAGTTGCAGCTTGCCCTAGCAACGCGAGTCATTCACGATGGTTGTCATTCACCTATAATGGCGATAAGGGGGTGTGGTTGACACGCAGGTCACGTGTCTGACAAGGACCAATGATAACTAGCACAAACCAAACCACGTCATTCAATCGTTGCCAGTCACTAAAGAGGACTTTTACAGTGATGCGGGGGTCGGATAAAATATCGCAGTCAGTTAATCCAAGTTTTTGTCGGACTAATTTTAAAAATGTAATATTGATTTCTTGGAGCTCGTGGGGAAAACAATTTTAATATTCCCATTATTTTGTCCATCAGCTGTTCTCGGTTCTAGTTGGTGTAATCGCGAGATGTGACGCAGAGCGGCGGAGTGCGTAACTGACACAGAGCCAAGACCGGAGTTCCTCACTGCTGATGGTACCGGGCGGAGGAGAACCAGGAGCAGAAGGAGTCAGCAGTGGCAGGGGACTGATGGTTCCGACTTAGTCTCGTAGATTTAGTAGTTTTACGTTTACCGTTGGATCCTTACATATCCAGAAAAAAAGAGAAAGGGAAAAAAATACGTGAAGATGGCGGCCGCGGCCTCGCCGGGCTCCGGTTCGTCGCCGGGCTCCGGCTTGTGTGCCTCCTCGGACTGGATTGTGGTGAGAGATGGCTGCCTGCGCTGCGACGAGGAGGGCCTGCGGAGCCTCTCCTACCACCCGGCCCTTAACGCTATTTTAGCCGTCACCAGCCGGGGCAGCATCAAAGTCATAGACGGCACTTCTGGGGCCACACTCCAGTCTTCGGCGCTGCAGGGTAGGTTCTGGGGATTTTTGTGTGTCCTGACAGCAACACTTTCAGTTTTCACAAAACCACCTCCGGTTTGTCAACAGAGTCCGGACTGGGTTCGTTAGCTGTCCCAGCATTTGCACCGGGGCCTAGCTACGTTATTGAGAAAGCAGGGCATGTTTCGCCTTTTGTGCCCCTTTCAAATGCACAGCCAGCATCCTGACACAGTCGTTAAAGATTTTATCTGTTTGTACTGAAATGGGTTGTGACTGTTTTGCCACCTATAGTCATCATGACACCTCTGCATGTAAGCTAACCGAAAGCTACCGGACCTAGCGTAGCGCTAGCTCGCCGGGTTGCTCTTCCTGTTAGAGTTCGTGGGTTTATTCTGGCTTCCGACAACATGTCGTTGAAAGTACAGACCAGACGCCGAACACCTGGAGCAGCACCACGGATAGTTCACTAAAAGTTTCAGCTGTCCGGAGATGTGGGAGTTTTCAAACGCAAACTGCTGTGTTAGCCGTGTAGCTAGCTGGAACAGCTCACCGGTCGTTTAACGTGATGCTCATTCAGTGGAACAACACGGATTTGTTTGCTGCGTTGGGAGTATTTTCTGCTTCAGAAAAGATTTGTGAAACGTTGTCTGTCAAAGTTATGGTTCTAAAGCTTCTGTGAGAGGAACAGTCCTCTAGGGCAGTTGTTTCTTATCTTAAGCTAAGTGTTTCTGCTTATTTTAACGTGTTAAAATATGCAGGAGAAATATTTGTGTCACAATTCAAAATAAAATGTTAGAAAATAAACATTTAGCGAAGGCGTTACATCATTAATCCGATAAATAACGTTTCCTTGATTGGATGCATTTTTATGGCATCTGAATTCTTTATTTAGGGAAAGATGCAACAAGTAAAAGATGAGCTTGTCTGTTAAAATAACTGCTGTTCCTGGAGGCAAGTGACAGTTGTTTTAAGGAACGCAGTGAAACGCTAGAAACGTCACAGCAGCAACATGTAAGGGTTATTCAGGGTTATTATTCATGTGCTGCACCGACATTTGATAAAAAAAATAGCAGTTTAGTTCAGGTTCCAGCTGAATCAAGGTGTTGGAATAATTCATATTTGAAGCGCGCTTATCCATCCATACGTACATGTTAGGAGAGCTGTGCAGAAGCATGTCTGCAAACCTCACTGAACTCAAGCAACAGAAAATTCCTCCACAGGCTTGTGGCTTACTGATGAGGTCATACACAAGACAGTTACTGTTTTATTTGTATTAGTCACATTCCGGCCATGTTTAATGTCCTCAGCTTTTTTTATTTGTTTTTTGCCATATACAGAAAAATCTGTATGCTGATGTAGTGGCATCAGCATACAGACATCAGGTTTACCTCCACTCTGTAATCCTGTAACATTTGTTGTGTTTAGATGCTCTCGTTCTGTTTCCTTAGAATATATGAAAAATGGTTCAGTCACGTGTGTGTGTGTGTGTGTGTGTGTGTGTGTGGGGGGGGGGGGGGGGTACCAGAATGAGAATAACTGAAGTCAAGTCATTTATGTTCACTAGAACATGTTGATTCCTTTCCGTTTCTAATGTGTGCTGTTGCTTTTAAAAGACGTACTAGTTAGTCATTAGTCTTAACTTTTATTAGTCTTAACTTTTTATTAGCTTCTATGACAGCTGGCTCTCAGAAACTAGATGGCCTTTGGCTCTGACATAGAGGTTAGGAGGTAACCGAGCGGCCGACCTTCTGACCTCTCTGTCTCACCTAGATGGTTACCTGGGCGGGCGAGTACAACTCACCCACTGGAACATCCAGAGTGTTGTGGTTAGTTTCTGATCAGACGGGATGATTCTGAATCATTACGTTTCAAGTGTGCTAATGAAAATCTCTCAGGCTGGTTTTCACACTCACGTTTAAACGAAACAGTTTGGTCATGAGAGATGTGTGGGAGCTGATCTGGGGTCTCCGGCTGCACACGTTTGTGGAGTTATCTGTTAGTGGTCAGCTCAGTGAGGAAAACATTAAATTCAACTTATTTTACCACAATGCAGAGCGTCATGCCAGCTCAGACACACAATCCTGCTCTTGTTTTTGTTTGGTGTCTCTTTCAAGCTGCGATTCCTAGAAAGAGTTTAGAGAAGAATGAGAAGTTCCACATGTTCTGCTTTTGTTCAGACTGTTTCATGTGATTTCCTTTCTGTTGGAACAGAATTGTTATTCTCAAATGAGGAAAAGTAAAGTTTTCTGAAACTTTCTGTTTCATTAGAGAAGAGTTTTTAGTTGAGGGTGTGTTTATGATCTGACCTTAAAGAGCAAGTCACCCCCAAATCAACTTTTTTTCCTGTTTAACTATATAAATGCATGTCTAATCGTGCTGCAGACACGTGTAGCCAATAGTTTTGCACTTAAGTGCATTTGAGTTAAAATTCTAAAACTGTCAGTGTGTCATTGTCAGGTAAAAACTCTGCACTGCATTTGAATTTAAATCTGCCATCGCTACTGGCTAAGAGGTACCCTAGAACGTTAGCTGGTACCATATCACAATGCTACCAGCTGGTATGATATCACAATGTCGTTGTGAGCCTGCGTGTGTATTTGTTAGCGGCTCCGCCCTCTCGGTCTGCTAGGCAACAGCATTTGTTGCATTTTCAAACAGGAAGTGGGAGTGGAGTAGTACTCTGGTAGGGGGTGACTTGCTCTTTAAGTAAATTGTGTGCTAACATGCCTCTGTTTAAAAGCACAGCGTGTTAATAAATATAAATTTTACTTTGCATTTACCTAACATAATAATATAAATGTGATTTCTCTCTTTGTGCCTGTGGTTCTACAGCAGAACATCAGCAGGAACTTTGATTTATGTTTCCAGGTTGTGTTGTTCTCCTGGTTCAGGTCTATTATTTAGTTCCAGGGATCTGATAAATGTGTGTATTCAGTGATAAATGTGTGTATTCTGTGATAAATGTGTGTATTCAGTCCTTTTCTGATGCTTCTCCTGTTTTGTCTCATCGTCCTCCCAGCTAAGCCCGGTGGTCGTGTCAGGTGTCAGTACTTTCCTGCAGTGGACAAGGTGCTTTTTGTGGACGACTATGCTGTAGGATGCAGGAAGGACCTTAACGGCATCCTGCTCCTGGACACGGCTCTGCAGCCTCCCGTTGCCAAACCGGAGGACATGGTTCAGCTGGAGCTGCCGGTCACAGAGGTGAGACAGGACAGGGTGCTGTTGTTGTGTTCTCTGAAAAGTTTCTTTCTGCTGTTTTCACCACCCCATGAACATCTTCTACTCATCTTTTTGTCTGAGTCCGAGCTGAATGTGTAAACGGTTCATCCGACACAAACCCGCTCTTCTCTGAATATCATCCACCTTAAGGTTGACGGCGTGAGCTGTACTGATGTTTATATATTTAATACTTGTTCGGTTTCTTTTATTAACTTTGGCTAAATGTTGGATTTTAAGGCTGAGAACAGAATTAAGATTCAACAGCTTCTAACTGGAGGTTCTCGAAACGAGTCAGTTCTGATCATCAGCTGAACTCGCTCTAGAGACGATGGTCTCCATCCTGATCTGTTTACAGCTCAGAAACGCGCTGGACTGCTCACATTCCAGCAGTTTGCTTTTGTACTTTTCTGGTTTCATGATAAAAACTAGAAAATCCAAGTTTTCAGTACCTGCTTCATTGTGGTTCCTAGCGTGCTGATCCAGTCCAGAAACACGACGTCGGCGAGGATGTCAGCATCACCATTGTTGTTTCTGTGTAGCATACAGGTCACCTCCTGCTGTTTTTCTCTGGAGTAAAGGTGGCGATGGTGCTGTTTTCTATAGTTTCTATGTGTAAAGGAACAGAAATGTGTCTTCAGGCTCAGCAGATGCTGTCAGCTTGTCAGGAGAAGATCGACGTCTCCAACATGGAGGGCTACCAACTTTTTATCAGCCAGCTGAAAGAAGGCCTGAAGAATACCTCACACGAGACCGCCGCCAATCACAAAGTGGCTAAGGTGAGACACTGAACATGTTTCTTCTATTCTGTGCTTAATTTCCTTTGAGCTGGTGAATGTGTTTGAGCCGAGACAGCTGAGGCTATTTAGTGGCGGCGAGGCGCGTCTGAACACGTGGACGTCACATGAGCATGTTTGCTGAAGGAAACCATGCTTCACCATGTTCCAGAGTTTGCCCAGAGCCACGGTTGTCTTGTTTGGGTAGAATTTACCTGTTTGATTCCTGCTGGGGAGTCGGGGCCATGAGAAGGTGTGGCTTCTGACGCCGCTAACAGCTGCTGATTTATTCAACACAGTTCAGAGAATCAGTCAAGTCCTACAGGGTTGTGTGTTTTTGAGTTTATTCTTCTGTCTGTCTGTCTGTGTGCATGGTGTGTGTGTGTGTGTGCGCGCACGCGCGTGTGCACCTGTGCGCACTATCATTTCACTTTCACACACACGAATGACGGTGATTTATAGCTCGGTCACGTCCTTGTTACCCACAAGGAAAACCAGCATGTTAACCATATACGGTTTGAGAGAGGATCTGAGAGGGGTGGCAACATTTGCAGCAACACTGAAAACCCTCTCGGATGGTGCGCTCGTTGCACTAACGCACACGTACCTGCGTGCGACTCTGGCGAGCAAAGGGAATCTCTCCCGGTTGTTGCTCCACCATGTCAAGGGGGTTTCTTTAGGGTGGATGCATTCCTCCTGCAGGTAGCGAGTGAGCTCCAGCTCGGCTCAAACTCTCTTCAGGACGGTTGCAGAAGCAGTGCTTGTCCGGGACTTCAGCAGGTCTCCGAGCATTTATTTATTTATTTATTTGCCGCTGGTGGCAGCTCTGTCCCGGCCAAGGACTCTGGCTGCTCAGCAGCTGACGTACTGAAAACCAAAGTGCTCCCAAAGGAGCGAAGTAACGTTTCGTTTTGATACCAGTGCAGCCATCCTTCTCAACATGCATCATTGAGTTGAACCAAGTTCAGTAATCGCGGTGGCCCATGATGCAGCGCGGTGGGCTTCTTCATATCGCGATATTTCATTTTTGCGGTTACCGCGACAGCCCTAGTAGCGCCAGTATACGGCAGCCTCGTTTCTGTCAGTGCGCCCCAGGGACGCTGTGGCTACATCGTAGCTCATCCCCACCATGGTGTGAATGTGAAGAAGAATGCGAATGTAAAGCGCCTTGGGGGGGTTCCAGGACTCTAGAAGGCGCTATAACAAATACAGGCCATTTACCATATAAATGACCCACACTTGTATAACGCCTTGGTCTCCAAAGTGCTTTACACTACAGTTTATCATTCATCCATTCACACCCTGGTGGTGATGAGCTACCGTGTAGCCACAGCTGCCCTGGGGCGCGCCGATAGAGGTAAACCTGCGGTGTACAGGCACCATCGGTCCATCCAAACACCACCTGCAGGCAAGGAGGGTTAAGTGTCTTTCCCAATGGACACAACAGCAGCCTTCTCTGCTGGGAGCCGGGATCGAACCAAAAACCATCCAATTACTGGACAACCAGCTCTACCTCCTGAGCTACTGCTGCCCTTTTAGGGGTCACATATCTCCGCGTGACTCCTGCTGTAGACATTTCGAGGGTTTTGGTGTTCCTTTAGCTCCAAGATCGTCTGTTCATTTTTACTCCTTTCCATCTCAGGAACGTTGCTAAGCTGAGTCCCATTCTGTCTCGCTCTGAACTTGAGACAGTTATACACGCCTTCATCTCCTCACGCTTAGACTACTGTAACTCTCTTTTCACGTGTCTGAGCAGAACCTCCCTGAACCGTCTACAGGTGGTTCAGAACGCCTGTGCTCGGCTTCTGACCAAGTCCTCCAAACACACCCACATCACCCCGCTTCTCCTCCAGCTTCACTGGCTGCCAGTCAACTTCAGGGTTCATTTCAAGATCCTGGTTCTGGTCTATAGGGCCTTACATGGACAAGCACCATCTTACATTGGTGATCTTCTTAGTCCCCTACACCCCCAGCAGGTCCCTGAGGTCCAGTGACCAAAGCCTACTGGTTGTGCAACACCACGCTAAAGGTCAAAGGTCATTTGCTGCTATGGCCCCCAGACTCTGGGTCTCTCCCCCTGAGCCTGAGATAAGTGGACTCAGTGGTCTCCTTTAAACTCACCTGTTCAGGTTTGGTGGGACCTTCATCACCTCCCTCTCCTTGTTCTGCTCTTATTCCACCTTTCCCAGAGCCACTGGTTTCCCTCTTTTTTTATTCATTTGTTTATTCTTCCTTTCCTTTTTTCAAAATGTTTCTTCTAATATAATCTTCAGCACTAAATAAAACTGTTTCTTCGTATTCTCTCCATGTTTATTATTTAGTTTGCATGCAGATTATTTAACATTTAGCATTCTTGTTTAAATGCATAGCAACAGTACAATGAAGGTCACCTCTCATTAAACTAGAGTCTTTGAATCCATGTGAACAGTTTGGAAACTTTTGGGCTCATTCTCTTTCCACGAGGAGCTGCTCCGACTCTCAGCCAGACACTGGTGTAGCTCTAGCAGCTGAGCGTGTCAGCGGGACACGTGGTGTTGTTCCTCTGAAAGGAAAGAGTTGCTGAAGCAGCTTCTGCCTCAGATGCTTTGCTGTCGATGACTGCAGCACCGAGCTGCTGCTGGCAGCCATCCCACTGTGCAGCACTTTAGCTTCATGGTTGCTTCATCACTTCTATTTAATCTACTGCAGAAGGTCATCTTCACTTTACAGGAATCCACCGTCACATACATGCATACTTCACTTACGATGGAACCATTTACAGTCAACTGGAAGGCTTTGCCTTGGGAAACCCACCATCAGCCACCCTTTGTGAGTTCTTCATGGAGGACCTTAAACAAAAAAGCCCCCCCCCCCCCCCCCCCCCAAAAACTGCTAAATAAAATAATGGAAATGCTATTTGGACGACATATGAGATCATACCAAAAGGACAAACGGACTGTAACAGAACACCTGAACAATATGGACGACATAAAATTTACATATGAGGACCAACGTTTACAAGATGCTGTAAAGACCTGCGGATGTCCGACATGGACAATAAACAAAGGAAAACAACAACAAAATGAAAAGGACAACTAAAACCAGTGATAACTCTTCCATCCGTCAAAGGCATAACAAAAAAAATTAATGTCGATGGAAAAAAAACGTAAACACACCGCCCAAACCATCCACAACAGGTGGGAAAAGACTAGAACACCCAAAGGACAAGATGGCAGCTGCACATACGTGTGGAGTCATTTATGAAGTCCCATGTGAACTCTGCTGTTACACATACATGGGAGCAACCGGAAGCCACCTCAGCACACGAACAATGGAACATAGAAAAGAGTGAGGGGGAACAAGTCGAAGACACAAGAACAGGAAGTAAAATAAAGAAATCAGCTGTAACCGACCACTGCACCAGAGCGAATCATGTAATGGACTGGGACGGTACACGGATCATAAACACAGAACAACTAAAATACAAAAGATGGATCAAAGAGGCGATCGAGATGAGGAGACGTTGGCCCAGGACCATAAACGGAGACGATGGAGTTTTAACGCTGGATCGCTCGTAGGACAGTGTCATCGGTGAGGAGGGCGCGGGCAGTAGAGGGTGACAGGAGCGTCTTCCTCTTCATCCTAAACTCAGCTGTGCGTGCTTGTGCAGAAGCAAACTGATCCCGCGGAAACCAGAGTGTTTTGGAGCTTTTGGACCTTCATACTTTCAGCCTGGCTTCGTTGGCTGGAAAATCAGTCAAATCCTGTTAAATTTAACTTCTGCAGTTTGTGTGAAAACCATCATCATGAAGTATGATCAGGCGTTAAAACAAAAGCATCTGAGCTGTTGATGATGCAGCTTTTGTTGGCACTCGGACTGTGGCCTGATGCATGATGGGTAATGTAAAGTGACCTCTGTGGCGCTGTCAGACATGTTTTCGTCACGGCGATGTTCAAGCAAGTCTCATCAACCAAAGTAAACGGACCCCATCTTGCTGCAGATGTCTAACTTCAGCGAATAGAAGATCAATACAAACACATTAAAGTGTGGAGAGAGAGGGGCGATCATCTGCTTCACACCAGAATATCTCACCAGTCCTTCTGATCCAGCCTAATAATCTGATTAAATGTAGTTTTTGAATATTTGAAACCACCTTGAAGGCTCAGAGTAAAAATATACAGTTTATATACACAACAAATCTGTACACACACACACACACACACACACACACACACACACACACACACACACACACACACACACACACACACACACACACACACACACACACCTGCGTTTGGTTTACCAGTAGGGTCAGCAACAGCTCACCTTGCCTGCTGGTGGTGGTCGGAGGGACCGGTGGCGCCAGCGCTCAGCAGCCTTGCCTCTGTCAGTGCGCCCCAGGGCAGCTGTAGCTGCATCGTAGCTCATCACCACCAGCGTGTGAATGTGTGTGAAGCACCTTGGGGGGTTGTGGAACCATAAGAAGGTGCTATACAAATATGGACCGCTTACCATTCTCACCTCTTCCCTGTTTCTCTGTTTCATCATCAGTGGGCAACCGTGACCTTTCACCTCCCCCACCATGTGTTGAAGCTCGTGGCTGGCACCATCGTCAGCGAACTCAAGAAGATAAACCAGAACGTCGCTGCCATGTCTGTGGCCTCCTCCATCATGGACAGGCTGTCCTACCTCTTGTCCAGCGCGAGACCTGAGCTCGGGGTGGGTCCCGGGCGCTCCGTAGACAGGTGAGACCAGCCAGATTTGTGATCAACAAGATTATGTAGGTGTCATCTGACTTGATCTTGTTTGCCATAATGAGTTTTAAACCGGATTCAGTTTAATCTCTTTGATCCCCAGATTCAGTAATTTGCATCCATCGGGGCTGCACCGTGTTTGTAATTGTAATCCTTTATTTATTTATAACATAGCAGTTCTCCTCCACACCACTAGGCTGTGCTGTGACACACCAGCTGGGCTCATCTCCAGTCATTACTCGGCTTCATAAAGCGGACCCTCTGGGGTCTATGGACGCGGATCTGGGTCTTTTGAACAGGTCCGATTTAGAAAGACTCCGCCTCCTCAAGTTTCTGTTTCAATTCAGGTTTAAAAAGAAGATTATAAACTGCGACTGGTTTTTAAATGTTACTGGGCCTGGTAAAAGCGGAGTTATACTCAACTAAAGAAGCAACCTTTTTTTTATTAGAAAATCGGAGAAGTTGTGTAAACCGAGATTGTGAGCTGTCACGGAGTGCAGGAAACTGCAGACGGACGTCGACGGAAGACTTAAGATCAGGGGTGCCCAATCCTGGTCCTGGAGGGCCGGTATCCATCAGGTTTTGTGGTTTCTCTGCTCCAACACTTGATTTAGTGGTTGAGTTGCATGTGCAGCTGCTCCTCAAGCTCTGCAGAAGCCTGCTAATCACCTGCTGATTAAAATCAGGTGTGTTGAAGCAGAGTTGAAACTAAAACCTGCAGGATACCGGCCCTCTAGGACCAGGATTGGGCACCCCTGCTTTAGATATTGGAGCGATCTGTGACAAAAAGATTATAGTTCATATGTAGTTGAGTGTTTTTATGTTTAAATGAGGATGAGAACGATGAATACCCAGCAGCTCAGCTGTTTTTTAGCTGGAAGACAGGAGAGTAAGGCTCACAGCTGGAGTCTGACGCCACAGTGAGGGTTTTGATGATCAGTCCTTCCTCATAGACACTGAAAGAGAGAAGCTGGGTCATACTCAGGAAGATGAGGTCCTGGCAGGCACAGAAGAAGCTGCTCAAAGATAGAAAGAGAGGAATGGGCAGCGTCGTACAGCATCAGTGTTATTCCTCCGTTCCCAGGATTGAGGCAAAGCCCCCGCCCCCTCTGTGATGCTTGTAAGACTGGAGAGGGACTAAAAAGTTTGTCAGGAGCAAGCAGGTTCTGGCCATGGAGAAAAGCAGTCCAGCCAATCCTCCCTTAGTCCAAATGATCTTTTCTATTGTTTTTTCTTACATGGAGAAGCCAGGCCTGATGCTCCTCTGCTCAGTGGACAGAAACTCGGGGTTTCCCCCAGCGCTTTATAAGCCTGGCGGCCTGCCAGGCTTTGCTTGGCCACACATAGATATGTTTATAAGCATGTTTATTATATACATATCTGTGAAGCCACCCATCAGGCCCCACCCCCTTCCCGATCCTACCGTGTCCGCTGACACGAGCGGCGCAACGAAACTAGAGCCCTCCATCAGCTGATACTGGTGAGAAACAACAGCGGAACGCGTGCAAACCCTCACCCCCGCTCTCACGGCTGAATCAGCCAGGCTTAACTGGGGGAAACCCTGGAAACTGCTTCTTGGAGGAGCACAAATAACTTGAGTTATCTTGGAAGACAAAAAAATCCAATTCATGTGTAAATAGTAAATATTTATTGATAAGGAATTAGCATAATTGTAACTTATTTTGGCACAATTATATATTTTTTGACATCTTTTTGACGTGCGTGCATTATTAATCAAAGACAAATGAACAATTTCTTTAATTTTCCTGTTAAATTTTTTAAAATGTGTTGTTTGCTGTTCATATGTATATATATATATATATATATATATATATACATACATATATATATATATGTATGTATGTATATATATATATATATATATATATATATATATATATATATATATATATATATAAATTAATTTACAGTCTAGGTTGTCATTCTAAATGATAAAAAACATTCATCATACATGTGTGTGGGTGAGGGTTATCTCCAAATATAAAAAAGACGTATACATTCCTACAGTTGTGCTGTATAAAGGCAGTAGTTATGCTCTTTGTTTGGAAATACAAAGGAAAAATCAATGAGTCAACAACGGCTAATTACACCCTGGAGCCCAGAGGGTTATAGCTTTAAGCTAGCCGACGGTAAAAGGTGGTTTAACCCGGCAGCACGCTCGGTTCAGTTAGAGCTTCCTCCTCACGGCTCTGGTGTCTGCAGATCCCTGATGTACAGCGAGGCCAACCGGCGGGAGACGTTCACATCATGGCCGCACGCCGGGTACAGGTGGGCTCAGCCCGACCCGATGGCTCAAGCAGGATTTTACCACCAGGTCTGTTCTGTTGTTTAGAGAGACATTTTTGTTTGTTTACATGTGTTCGTAGGTGTGTGGTCAGACATTTTGGGACCGTTGGAGTGTTCAGTTACTTTTTTCTCTCCTTAACCTCTGAACTTTCTCCCCACAGCCGGCCTCGACAGGAGACGACAGAGCCATGTGTTTCACCTGCAGCGTGTGTTTGGTGTGTTGGGAACCTACAGACGAGCCCTGGTGAGTGGACAACATGGACGCATCATGAGACTGTCGTCATCCTCTCACACGTTTCCGCTCTATAAATCCTGCAGGTCGGAGCATGAGCGACATTCACCCAATTGTCCGTTTGTGAAGGGAGAGCATACACAGAACGTCCCCCTGTCAGTTACCCTAGCAACAAGCCCCGCCCAGTTTCCCAGCAGTCCCGACAGCTCAGATAAAATTGCCTGCTACGGGTTCGGTAGCTGCCCACAGTTCTTGGCTGCCGCCACCAAGAGGGGAAAGATCTGCATCTGGGATGTCTCCAAGATGATGAAGGTCATTAGCGCTGGCGTTTGTTTTCTTCTCATGTGATGATGACAAGCATCCTTTAGCAGCTGTGGTGGTCTCTGCTCAACAGGTGCACCTGAAGTTTGACATCAACCCGTACGATCCGGCCATCCTCCGACAGCTGATCCTGTGCAGCGGGGAGCAGGTTCTGACAGAGTCTCGGAGACCAACTGTGACCTGGTTGGAGGAGTCGTCGTCCTGCTCCGACCTGCCCAAGCTAGAGGGGGACAGGTAGGAAACAAGCCCTACCTATGTCCACTTACACAGTGAGAAGAGACCCTGACTGTGTTTTTAATCATTTCTTGTCTTTTCAGCGACGACCAGCTGGAGGACTCGGACAGCGAAGAGCATTCCCGGTCAGAATCCGTAACAGGTTAGTAATCTGCCGGATTGTTTCTGGAGTTGTGGATGATTGAGAAAATGAAATCTAGTATAAAAACAAACGGTAGATGTGGACTGGAAGACCTTCAGATCTTGTTTTGGTTTGGTTTCAGGCCAGCCGTCCCAGTGGGAGAGCATGGACCTGAGCCTTGGGGTGACGGCGCTGAGCGTGCTCCAGCAGCCCGAGAACCTCCAGTGGGAGGTGGTGGCAAGTGTCCTGGAGGACACCGTGAAAGATTTGGAGGAACTGGGTGCAAACCCCTCGTTGAACCAAACCAAGACCCACAGCCAGGCTAAAAGTAAAGACAAGCTGCCTGAGCACCACAACATTCCCTTTCCCTGCCTGTTGGCTGGAGGTCTCCTCAGCTACTGCTCAGCATCCAGCACCCCCATAGCGGTTCCCCCTACATCAGCCCTACCTTCAACACGGAGGACCACACAGGGTCCACACAGGACTCAGGGCCCTGAGCCTTTTTCTGGGCCTCTACAGGAACAAGGTTCCATGGAAATAGATGCTTGCAATCCCCAGACTGCCCCCCAGGAGCCGATGTTTTCTAATCAGTCAGGGTCTCAGCTTCCCAGCCCCTCCTCTCTGTCGGCTCTGCGCAGGACTATACCGGTGCTGCTGCTGTACAGCATCAGGGAGGTGGACGACAAGTCCTCAGGACAGGTGTTTGCCCAGATGAACAACCTAATGAGCAAGGGGCTCCACGAGGAGGGCTTCACCGTGCCACAGATCATCGAGATGGAGTTTGATACGCACGAGCAGCTGCTGCTTCAGGACCCGCCCATCACCTACATCCAGCAGTTTGCTGACGCAGCCACTAACCTGGCAGGTTTGGACGGTCACGTGGACAAATGGAGCACGTTGGGTGCAGCAACCGTCTCCACCCCGCCTCGACCCGGAGCACTAGTGCAGTGTTTACGGCTGCCCAAGCAGCTGGAGGAGGAGAGCCTGTATGTGGACTCCATCACGCCGTGCTGGGACGGCGTCCACCTGCTGGTCTGCCTGCAGCCTTGTGGCTCAGAGTCTCTCAGCGCCACCAACCAGGTGGAGGCGCTCAACAATCTGAACCGTCTGCACTCGGCCCTGTGCAGCCAGCGCAAAGGAGACCCTCTCCACCCGGTGGCCAACGGAGTGGAAAGCCTTCATCCTGGGGGGTCCCCCCCTCAGACCCCCCTCATTTTACCCCCAGGAGAGCCGCTGCAGCAGAGGACTCAGAGCCGGGGCAGTGGGGGGGGCTATCTTGCACTCTACAAACTCAACTACTCCACCCATATAGTCACTTTAGAAGAGGAGCCAATCAAGGTGCAGCAGATCAGGGACCCTTGTGATGCCATCACCTCTCTCATATTACTTCCTCCAGACGTGCTCGACAGCAGAGAGGATGAGAGTGAGGAGGCCTCTGAGGAGGCGCTCCCCTCAGCTCCAAAAAATGGTTCCTGTGGGCCTGAAACGGGTCCAGCAAGTCCTGCTGGCTCTGGGACTGCATACAGAGCAGCCACCAGCAGCAGTGCTACGGTCACCAGTCCTTCCACCTCTGCCTCCTGCTATAAAGAGTGCAAACGGGCAGAGATGGCAGGCCTGGGCCACCTGGTGGTCACCACCCAAACTGGACACATAATGATCCTGGACCTGTCCACGTTGGAGGTCCTGGCCAAGGTAGAGCCCCCTAAAAGGGACGGGTTAGCTGAAGAACCCGACCCATTTGTCTCGGTTACCTACTGCTCTGGGACCGACCGCCTCTGTGCCTGCACTAAAGGTGAGGTTTCAGCACTTCCTGTGGGATGTTGCATCAAAACGCAGAAACGTTCATTTCATCATCTGGGCACAGCAAAACCTTTCTCATGTGTTTCGAGTCCTCTGGTTCAGGCCCAAGGACCTCCCCCATTGTTCTGCAGCTCAGTCAGCGGGTGTCTTGTCTCATGTTGATGACATCACTCACAATGGTTTCACAGAGGCTTCATCTAGCTTCAGTTTATTGTTTTGTTGTGATGAAACTAAAAGATGCCATAAACATGTGAGCCATGAACACGCGGCTGGCCAGCGTGGTTTTACCTGTCGGCCCGGTTTTTAGGAGTAACTTACCGGTACTAAAATGGGATGTTGAGTTTGTGTCTAGCTGCGGTTTGGTTTCAGGGTTCATTCATTCATCATCAGTCCTGTTTTTAATCAGCTTCTGAACTAAACGGTTCCTCTGAGTTTAACTCGACTTTTGTCTTGCTGAAGGTGGAGAACTTCATTTCCTTCAAATTGGAGGTGTGTGTGATGATGTAGATGATGGAGACATGTTTATTGATGGCCCCCTTTCTAAAGGGTCTGAACCGCTTCTGGAGGGCACCAAGCCTTCCTCCAACCCATCTAGTCCTGGAATCACAGGTACAGACACTCGGCCGCTTGCTGCTTTTGATCTGATGCATCCGACCCAGGGGGGTAACAGTCCCATCTGGCTTCCTGCAGGAGTGGACCTCCTGGTGGACCAAACTCAGACCACAGAGAGTCTGATGTCTTTGGTGGAGTTGACCCGCTTCGAGACGCTGACGCCTCGTTTCTCAGCCACCGTGCCTCCGTGCTGGGTGGAGGTGCAGCAGGAGCAGCAGCAGCGGCGCCACCCGCAGCACCTTCACCAGCAGCATCACGGAGATGCAGCCCAACACACGCGAACGTGGAAGCTCCAGAGTTACAGGTAGCTCTCTGTCACGGATGCAGCAGTTTCCTAGTTCAGATTCTTTACATCTGGACAAAATTCCCAGTAGCAGCTTTATTTTTTGTTCATCCCCACATTGAGACATGATTTGATTTCTGCTGCTGACCTGAGTTTTGTCCACAGCTCCAGCTGGGACGAGCATGTGTTTGAGCTGGTGCTCCCTAAAGCCTGCATGGTCGGCCACGTGGACTTCAAGTTCGTCCTGAACACCAACATCGTCAACATTCCTCAGATTCAGGTCACTCTGCTGAAGAACAAAGCGCCCGGGCTGGGCAAAGTCAGCGGTGAGGATGCTTCTCTTTTACAGTTCCTACACATTGTCGTCATGGTAACGTGCACTAAGTGGCTTTCAGTGCACATTATTGTCTGCGTAAAACTACAGAGGCGTGTATTTATTCTGAATGGACGGGAGAGGAGAGCTCTTGTGTCTGTTGATTTGATGCCAGCAGGTCTTTGATGTTTCTTACAGTTTGAGTTTTTTCTCTTGTGACATAAAAACATTCAAAGGGATTCAGGGTGTCTGATTCTTGGTTTGTCTCCGTCAGAGACAGCAGTGGACAGACAGATTTCATTTCCTCTTTCAAACGTCCTCCATGCCAACGGCGAGAAGAACGGTCCGCCTCTGCTACAGGACTTCAGCGAGGACATTCAGTTCATGGACATCGAGGAGACATCAGGTTAGTCTGAGATCACTCGGCGCTCACGCTGGAACGCTGTCCTGGTTCCTTCAGCTGGTGTTCTCAACCCACACGGGTGAGCGGCGCGGACACCAGCGACCTGCGCTGCGTGGAAATCCTCTTCAGGAGCATGTCTGGGTGGGGGTGGGTGGAGGGGCTGCTCTCACAAACCAAAAGATCACATTTGTCTCCACAACAACCATGGAAGCAGACGCCACTTTCTACAGAGGATGTGATGTCATAATGCTGATTCTGCAGCGTCAGGATAAAGTCTCGTGGCTCACTCTAAACATGCCGATGCTCTCCTCAAACAGCGCAGGGAGCAAATCAGCCCCGTGCTCACCGGTAAAGACGTAATTCATAATTATTTATGAAGCGCCAAATCACAATAAGTCATCTCAAGGACCTTCACGAAGTAAATATTCCAATTCAGTTCGTTAAAGTCCCATAGTCATCATCACACACTGGTGAAATTCATCTCCCCATCTGACTCATCCCCATGGGGGAGAGCGGTGAGCTGCAGCTGTTGCTGCGCTCGGGAACCATTTGGTGGCTTAAACCCCCCCCAATCCAACCCTTTAAAGCTGAGTGTCAAGCTGGGAGGTGTTGGGTCACGTTGTATGACCCGACCGGGAATCGTACCCTGATCTCCCAGTCCCAGGTGTATACTCTACCACTATGCCACTGAGCTGGTTAAGCCAATCAGTAACAAGTTTCCTGTGTAAGGAACCCAGCAGGTTGCACCGAGTCACTGACTAGTGTCACAGTCTTTACAGCAATCCTCATACTAAGCAAGCATGCAGCAACAGTGGAGAGGAAAACTCCCTTTTAACAGGAAGAAATCTTCAGAGGATCCTGGCTCAGTATAAGCAGCCATCCTCCACGACTCACTGGGGATGGAGAAGACCACACACACACACACACACACACACACACACACACACACACACACACACACACACACACACACACACACACACACACACACACACACACACACACACACACACACACACACACACACACACACACACACACACACACACACACACACACACACACACACACACACACACACACACACACACACACACACACACACACACACACACACACACACACACACACACGTTTCTATGGCTACATTGTGATTTCTTAGTAAATATTCTATTTGGTGAGAGATAAACTTTAACTTAGTGAATCTATAATTAATTCAACAGGTGAACTAGTACATCACAAGTCTTTATTTGGCCTTTATTTTGAAATTCACTGGATGATTTGCACTGATGCAGTGTGTGATTTCCTGTTTAGCCCCATGGTAACTGTGGAGCCTGATGCGATCTGGAAGTGTGTTGCATCAAAAATAGAACCAAAGCTAACGTTTAGCGGCACACCGCATCGACACGCTTCTAAAAGACGCCGCGGTGTGTCTGATGGAAATCTGGGGTTACACAAAAACACACATCTGTAGCGTATTCCACTGTTGGGAGGTTTTTGTTGGCTCTTCTCAGCTTGTTATTCTTTACTGTTCATCACAGGTTCTGTGTTGTGTCCGTTTCTGGAGGACCACAAGGAGGACATCCTGTGTGGTCCAGTGTGGTTAGCCAGTGGGCTGGACCTCTCTGGTCACTCTGGGATGCTCAGCCTCACCAGTCCCAAACTGGTCAAAGGTAACAGAAATCAGCGTTTCCAGTTTACCAGTCGAACGGCTCAGATGTGATGGCAGCCATCAGTCTGGGTTTGAGTAAAAATGCTGAGTCATCCTGTCTATCCTGCAGGCATGGCAGGAGGAAAGTATCGCTCCTTCCTGGTTCACATCAAAGCAGTGAGCGATAACGGCATGGAGGAAGGCCCGAGGCCCGTGGTGAGAATGCCCAGTGCAAAGCCCCAGAGCTCCAAAGCTCACTCCCTGTCCTCCCTGCTGCAGCAGGCTCAGGCCTCCAAGGTGCTCATTTCATGTCTCAGCAATTTCCTTTATGGTTCCTGCTCTTAGTGAAATGTTTCAGTCTGCTTTCTGTCAGCAGAACCAGAGAACAGATCCACTTTTGTCTTTAATGATGCAATCCATCATTTTCAATACACAAACACAAATGCTCATGTAGGGTATGAGTCTTCTGCTCCTTTAACAAGGACTGGTTTGTTCTGATGCATTTGTCTAGGGACAAGCTAAACGTTTTCTGTGCTGATCGTATTCTTGCATCCGTAGGAGAGGGTTTCTCCTGGAAAAATGGAGAACTCGTCACAGTCCAAGAAAGTTGAGAACCTACGAGGGTGTGACCAGCTGCAGGAAGTTTCAGTCACAATCAGAAGGTTCAAGAAAACATCGGTACCCAAAGAAAGGTTGGTTGTTTTTTTCTCATAGATAACAGGAAACGGAAGAAATACTTTCAGAAGTTTTCTTTAGCTTCACATTAATGTCCTTTTGGCTCCGCAGGGTCCAGCGCTGTGCCATGCTGCAGTTCCCAGACTTCCATGAGAAGCTGCTGGATGCTCTGTGTCAGCAGGCGGAGGGCATCCCTGCCACCGAGCACGCCCAAAGCCTCACTCTGGACATCCTGTGCTGGCTCGCTGGCGTTTTCTCTAACGGACCCTGCAGGTGAAACCAGGACAGAATCACCTCCTGTCTAAGAGACACTTTAGTTCCCCAAGATGACGACCCACCTTGTTCCCTTGTTTTAGCATCAGAGAAGGAAAGGAGGGTCTGCTGGCCAAAACTCGGATCAGGTTAACCAACATCGTGCGGGTTTGTTTCTTTGAAGCGGGTCGCAGCATCGCACACAAATGTGCCCGCTTTCTTGCACTTTGTATTAGGTAAGAAACACGAGTTTGGACACACACACACACACGCTCGCACGCACACACACACACTCACAAAACAAAAAACAACTTCAGCTGAAACTGACTTCCTCAAAAGAAAATCACCATTTGAAGTCACGATCAACAAAAGACGTTTTGACCTTGAAGACGGCGACTGGTGTCTAGCACCATCTCGTTTCCTCTGGCAGTGCGAGTTCTGGTATTGGACGGTCGTGTCTCAGGGTTGATAGTCGGTGGGAGGTTAAGGGTTCTGTGACGTGTTTGTGTTGACCAGCTAGCTTGTTTTTCAGATGTGCCATTGCCACTTTAGTACTAACGTTCTGGGTCATGTGGGATGAAGTTTGAGCTCAAAATTCAAACCCTTAAGGTTCTGCTGTAGTGGGAAGAGGCCCATTCGGTCTGTTTTTCATTCAAATGTTTTTGTTTGTTTTGTAGCAATGGCAAAGGAGACCAAAGTCAACAGGGTTTTGGTGTGAGCCTTCTGAAGGCTCTGCTAGATAACATGCCTTACTTACCTGCAGCAGCCACAGGTGGTGAGTACCACTCAGAGCAACAAGCAGCCCCCCCCCTGCAGGAAACCCTCTCATCTCATGTTCTAACTGGTTTGCTCCTAGGTTCTATGTTCTGGTACTTTGTGCTGCTAAACTACGTGAAGGAGGAGGATCTGGCAGGTTGCAGCACAGCGTGCGCTTCCTTACTCACCGCCATCTCTCGCCAGCTGCAGGACCGCCTCACCCCACTGGAGGCGCTGCTGCAAACTCGGTAAACGTCGATTCTGTTGAGCTCTTCTTGGCGAGTTTACCTGGAAGTGCCTAGTTTTAGCTTACACCCCCCTGTTCCCAGGTACGGTCTGTACAGCTCTCCGTTTGACCCCGTGCTCTTTGACCTGGAGGTCAGTGGTTCTTCCTGTAAAAATGCCTTCAGCGGCAGCATCGGAGTCCAGTCAGACGAGATCGACCTGTCGGACATCCTCTCAGGTAGGAGCTGCTGTTGGCACATGGCTCAGCTCCAAATGACCCGAGATTGTTTTGATCTCTGTTCTGTGATTGAAAAATCTGTTCTTATTGGTAAAGATGGCTGCCTCTGAGTTTAAAGAGCAAGTCACCCCCTACCAGAGTATTACTCTGCTCCCACTTCCTGTTTGAAAAATGCAACAAATGCTGTTGCCTAGCAGACCGAGAGGGCGGAGCCGCTAACAAATACACACACACACAGGCTCACAATGACATTGTGACATCATATGGTACCAGCTAACGTTCTAGGGTGCCTCTTAGCCAATAGCGATGGCAGATTTAAATTCAACTGCTGTGCAGTTTTTACCTGACAACGGCACAACACTGACAGTTTTAGGCAGAAAATTTAAATTTGAACTAAAATGCACTAAAGTGCAAAACTTTTGACTATTCGTGTCTGCAGCAAGATTAGACACACATTTATATAGTTTAACAGAAAAATAAAGTTGATTTGCGGGTGACTTGCTCTTTAAGCAGCAGCTGACAGACATGGTTACCATGACGACACAGAGGAGGAGCTCAGGTTGTGGATGTGTTGCAGGAAACGGGAAAGTGAGCAGCTGTGCAGCAGCAGAGGGCAGCTTCACCGCACTGACTGGACTGCTGGAAGTGGAGCCTTTGCACTTTACTTGTATCTCCACCAGTGACGGCACACGGGTGGAGCGGGACGATGCCAGCATGTTCACTGGTAACACCTGCATGCATTTATTTAACAATAACTCTGATCATAGGGTCTAGCTGATTTCTGAGCTCTCTGGTCTAACATTTTGAACCCCAGTGAGTACGTTTGGAGTGACCCCGAACGTGGGCGGCCTGTCCACCGGGACGGTCGGAGAAGCTTCCACAGCTCTGAGTTCTGCTGCTCAGGTGGCTCTTCAGTCGCTGTCCCACGCCATGGTGTCAGCAGAGCAGCAGCTGCAGGTCCTGCAGGAGAAGCAGCAGCAGCTGCTGAAGCTGCAGCAGCAGGTGAAAATGCTCCTTCAGCTATATTTAAACCCTGTTTTGGGGATTTTACCACAAACATCAGCTGGTACTAGTGTTGAATTTGACAAGAAATTTTCATTTAGTTTTTGTCTTTTGACTAAAGTTCGTTTTAATTGTAGTCATTATTTAGTCCGATTTGTTTTAATTTTTGTCCTTTTTTTTTAGTCGACTAAATAAATGTATTTTTCTTCTGATGCAGTAATTCTCCGCTTGTGTGAAGGAAATGTTAACTACATCTACTAGAAACTAAATAATTATGTAAAATTCTGGGAGGAACCCAAATGAAAATTCTTGGCCAAAACCAAAATAAGTTATGTCAATAATTAGAACCGTAGCATTAGAAGGACATTAAAATCAATCGATACGGCGTTTAACCAGCCCAATAAAATCCCTCGTGAAGTTTTTGCTTTACACCAGAAGATGACCTGAAGCTTTAGGGTGTGGTTCTCCCTTCAGACATGACTTTTGTCGACATCAGTACATGAGCTCTGGTTAAACGGTGGCTGGCTCCGAACTTGGATTGGTTCTTTTGTCGTCTAGTCCCGCTTCTTCCATTTGCTGATTGGTTCTTTTTTCCGGTCTCCCATCTTTTCTGTTTGCAGATTGGATTTTTGTTTCTGTCAAGTTTTCTTGTTGTCTCTCTAAAAAAACCTGAAATATTTAGTCAATGGAATTAACACTGGCTGGGCGATATGGCCCAAAATCCGTATCTCGACATATTGAGGATTTCACCTCGATGACGATAACTACAGGTATGCGCAGAAAAAAGGTTGCCCACTAGATGGCGCTGTCACATGCATTACAACTCAAGGTGGTACAGCTTCTTAAAGGGACAAGAACGTTGCCAACCTACGCGCATCTTTTCATTATCAGATTTATTGACATGGGCAGAATTATCTCAATAAGAGCCATAAATTTTGATAACGATATATTTTTGATTTCTTGCCCAGCCCTACTGCTGAGCGTTACACTGAGATATATTCCAGATGTTACACATGTGGTCTGATTACGTTGAACTATGTTGAGGAAAGGATAAAAAAGATGAAACCACAGGGTTCCTACAAGTGCTTGAAATTCTGGAAAATGCTTGAATTTTAATGTAAATATTAGTTTTTGTTTCGTGGTGTCGCTTGAATCTCCCGACTACTCATTTTCGTCTCTTTGTGCCGTGAACAGAAAGCGAAGCTGGAGGCCAAACTGCACCAGACCACCTCTGCAGCTGCTGCTGTTGCCTCAGGGGTTGGACCCATGCACAACTCTGTGCCTTCAAACCCCTCATCCGCTCCGGGCTTCTTCATCCACCCCTCTGATGTCATCCCACCTACACCTAAAACCACGCCCCTCTTCATGACCCCTCCCCTCACCCCGCCCAACGAGGCGGTGTCTGCTGCCATCGGCTCGGAGCTGGCGCACCTGTTCACCGGTTCCATGATGGATACTGGACCCGTCAACCTGGCTGCACATAAGAACGCCCAGAAAGCCAAACCGGTGAGACGGGGTGCTGAGTTTAACGTCGAAGCACAGGATAAACACACCAGCCATGATTTATTTTTGTTCTTTTTATATGAAAACTTGATGAAACACATGTTTTTCATCCCAGAGCCCCGTGGGCAGTGGTCTGGCTCTGGCCATCTCCCAGGCATCGCACTTCCTGCAGCCTCCTCCGCACCAGTCCATCATCATAGAGCGGATGCATTCAGGTACTGAATGTTGGAATATTCCTTATGTAGCTGGATGGATGTCTGGTTGTTTCCATGAGGAAGCCTATGTCCCAGAAACAGACCTGAATGAGTAGAAGGAGGTTTGTTAGGAGTTACCAGAGAAATAGTCCATTCTTTGGACAGAGGGCTCCGTATCAGGTGTGCTGTGGGGGTTCTGTCTAACGGGGTTAGCGTCCCTGGTACTGATGCTGCTACCTCATCCCTCTGCAGCACAGAGAGATGCACTTGCTGCCACCGACTGATTAGAAGTCTCCAGCACCTGAGTCTGATCTTCTCCCGGTTGTAGACGGCATCAGTGTTGGTGTGCCGGTCCAGAATGTTGTTTAGGAACACACCCAGGTGTTTGGGGGGTTAGGAATCTGAAGTCCACCACCTTCTCCTTCACCTTGGTCAGGAGCAGATGATTCCTACTGGAAGGCTCATCTCAGACTTGGACGAGAGATGCAGCTCAGCTCTGATGTAATTCCTAACACTGCTGCTGGTTGTAGACTTCTCCTGTGGTTTTTTTCCAAGGAGCTCGTCGCTTCGTCACTCTGGACTTCGGCCGACCCGTGCTGCTGACGGACGCTCTGATCCCGACCTGTGGAGACCTGGCCTCCCTATCCATAGACATCTGGACGCTGGGCGAGGAGGTGGATGGCCGCCGGCTGGTAGTGGCCACTGACATCAGCACCCACTCACTCGTCCTCCACGACTTGCTGCCACCGCCAGTGTGCAGGTTCATGAAGGTCAGTCTACATGACACTTAAGTCAACCGTTAAGAGTTGAGCTCTCCACAGCGATGGTCCATCTTGTCCCTCAGATTACGGTGATTGGGCGCTACGGCAGCACCAGCGCACGAGCCAAGATTCCCCTGGGCTTCTACTATGGCCACACCTACATCCTCCCATGGGAGAGCGAACTTAAACTCATGCATGATCCTCTGAGAGGAGAGAGCGAAGCTGCTAGTCAGCCAGATGTGGACCAGCATCTGACCATGATGGTAGCTCTACAGGAGGACATTCAGTGCAGGTGAGACAGCAGAGAAGTCTGGTCCAGACTTATCTTCTTACTGCTTTCACCAGTTTGACTAAACATGATTTTATGAGAGTTTTTAACGGGATAAATGTCTCCGAACTTGTTCTCCAAACTCTCACGCTTCCTGCAGGAATTTAAGTGGATTTGTTCTTGTCCTTCAGGTACAATCTAGCGTGCCACCGTTTGGAAACGCTTCTTCAGAACATCGACTTGCCGCCTCTTAACAGCGCCAACAACGCCCAGTACTTCCTACGAAAGCCAGACAAGGTGGTGGAGGAGGACCAGCGGGTGTTCTCAGCCTATCAGGACTGCATCCAGCTGCAGCTGCAGCTGAACCTGGCTCACCACGCCGTCCAGCGGCTGCGTGTGTCTCTGGGCGCCAGCCGCAAGGCTCTGCCGACAGCGGGCGACCCGGAGGCTGAAGAGCTGGTCCACAACTCCTCCACAGAGCAGCTGAGGACCATCATCCGTTACCTTCTGGACACGCTGCTCAGCCTGCTGCACTCCAACAATGGTGAGGCCCGGCTAGATCTGCTGGAACGTGGGTGGGTTTTCCTTGATTGTGTTTGATTGATCCTGTTTTTATTGTTAGGACACTCTGTGCCTTCGGTGCTCCAAAGTACCTTTCACGCTGAAGCCTGTGAGGAGCTTTTCAAGCACCTTTGCATCAGCGGAACACCTAAAATCCGTCTTCACGCTGGCCTGCTGCTGGTGCAGCTGTGTGGAGGAGAACGCTGGTGGGGCCAGTTCCTCTCCAACGTTCTGCAGGAACTCTACAACTCTGAACAGCTGCTTATTTTCCCCCAGGACAGGTAGAGTAACCCCTTCTCACACGGATAATAGGGATGCACCGAAAATGACCCAAAAGGGAATTTTTTGGTTTTTGGCCAAAACACCTAAATCACCAAAAAACACCGTCAGGTGAACCCCGTTTTCGTTACATCTCGCTACGCCTTATTTGGCAACTTGCTGTTTGCTTCATAAAAACGGTACATTTTGATTTCAAAAGTAAGGTTTTCCCCTTCTAGTAATGCTGTTATTACGATCGCTGGAATATTCTTATCAATTACGTGATGCAGTTTTAGTTTCAGTTTCACATCTAGCACATCTGCCACTATCGGTGGTGTTTTTACCGTCTTTTCTACACCTACCGTGTCCCGAACACGGTGAAATAAGATGTGGATCCTGTGTGATCCACATCAAGCACACAGACTGATGCTGCCCGCAGCGGCGCTTTCTTTTTCACTGGATGAGTGAACCGCGGTGACGAACCAGCACCTTCATCAGAGGCTGAATATTATCTTTCTGATTCAGTCGGCCATTACCAGACAAAGAGCCTTGTCAACAGTGAACAGTAGAGCTGAGGAAAATGATCGATGCATCAAGATGCATCCCTAAACCGTTCTGCAAACCTGTTAGAGCGGGTGCTCTCCACGTTTACCGGGTAGGAAATATTGGTCCGCCATTATGTGGTGCTGCAGGTCTGAGCGCTGGAGTTGTAACCTGAGACCTAACTGGATCAGCCCAACCGGTTCTGTTGCATTTGGGCTGGTGAATTATGTTAGTTAAGCAGGTTGTCACGCAGCGAGAGAGAGCGAGAGAGAGCGAGAGAGAGAGAGAGTGAGAGAGAGCGAGAGAGAGAGAGAGTGAGAGAGAGCGAGAGAGAGAGAGAGCGAGAGAGAGAGCGAGAGAGAGAGCGAGAGAGAGAGCGAGAGAGAGCGAGAGAGAGAGAGAGAGCGAGAGAGAGAGCGAGAGAGAGAGCGAGAGAGAGAGCGAGAGAGAGAGCGAGAGAGAGAGAGAGAGAGAGCGAGAGAGAGAGCGAGAGCGAGAGAGAGAGAGAGAGAATTTCAACAGAAACATCCAGAAGTGTCTCAGATTAAAGTTACACATCTCTACTGTCTTCTGGTTTAACGTAATAACTTCATCAGGGATTATAATTACAGCTGTGGCTCAACATGGTGCTTAAAGGGTTGATTTTACAGTCCTCAGCAGGCCTTTCAGTTATACGCTCATACATTTCTAATTATTATTCTTACATATCATTTATTATTTAGTGCACACGAGTGGAGTCAAGTGAAGGATAGTGTATATTGTTGCTATGTCGGTGCTTTTCACGCTTTTGTAACTGATTTATTGCATTGCCTTGAATTTAGTGAGGTTGGTACACATGTAGCCATAAATGCTACGGTTATAATTACTGATATTAAAATTATTTTGGTGTTTCAGTTTTCAGTTTTCCAGCCTTGGTCTCCTCATTTTCGGTTTGCAACAAGAATTTTTGTTTCGGTGCTTCCCTAACTGGCTGAACTCTTTTGGTGCCAGAGGAGCTCGTCTGTAATCAGCATCTAAACCCATCTGCTGGGTTCTTATGGGTGCTTGAAATTCTTGAAAGTGCTTGAACTTTAATACTTAAATTTGAGAAGGGATGAAGTCAAAATCATTTAGCGTTCTAGGAAGGGAAATAATCACAGGAGTGGCTCACGTTGGTGTCGACCATCACCACGTAGAAGTAAAACTCGCCCTAAAGGTGCTTGAATTTGACTCTGGGAGTTTTAAGCCCTGGGCTCTAGATCCTGTAGCTCATCAGTAAAGCTGACCTTCGTGAGGATGCTGTTAGCAGCTGGTAACGGTCCCTCCGGTTCCTCCTGTCCTCTTCAGGGTCTTCATGCTTCTGTCCTGCATCGGCCAAAGATCTCTGAGTAACAGCGGCGTGTTGGAGGGTCTCCTAAACCTCCTGGACAGTCTGCTGTCTCCACTGCAGCAGCCACAAGCCATGTCCCAACGCAGGACTGAAGGTAGAGTGCCATTACAGTGGGGGTGGAGGTGGTATGACTGTACCCACTGCAGGGGGGTTTGTTTGTCTTTCAGGTATTTTGGACATTCCTATGATCAGCTGGGTGGTGATGCTGGTTTCCAGACTGTTGGACTGCGTGGCCAGTATAGAAGACGAAGCTTCTGGGAACAAGAAGAACCTTGGAGGGAAGGAACGGGAGAGGCCCGTAACAGGTAACCATGGATTTGACACCTGGCTCTGTTTTACACGTTTAAGATGCTGATGACCTGAAAAGTTTAGAAAATATCAGACCTTCTTTATTTATAAAGCTCCTTCCGCGCGACCTCATTGGATGCCTAAGGTGCTGAACACAATATACTATTTATCAGCACAGTTGATCAAAAATGGTTCAGAATTCACTAAAAAAGCAAATAAAATGAAAACAGCAAAGTAGGACGACGATGCCAAGCTACCTCACTTAACGGTGGAAAGCTGAGACATAAAAATGGGTCTTAAGGCGGGACTTGAAGACCAACGGTGAAGGAGATCGGCGCACAGCCAGAGGAAGCTCAGACCCATCACAGAGAATGCACGATCCCCATGTGATTTAGATTTTGAGCGGGGAACCACCAACAGCTCTATCAGCTGAGCACACAGCCCGTGATGGAGCATGCCTCTGCAGAGGCCAGTAAGGTATGGTGGTGCAGCTCCCTGGAGAGCTTTGTACACCGATGTTGGCAGCTTAAACGTGGCCCTGAAATGCACCAAGAGCCAGTGTAAAGAATGGGGTGATGTGCTCCCTGCGGCTAGTGCCTGTCAAGAGCCTAGCTGCTGAGTTCTGTAGCAACTGCAGTCGTGCAACCGCGCCCTGACTCAGGATGGCGTACAGCACATCGCAGTAATCTAATCCGGAAAGGACTCGAGCACGAGTAACGGAGTCTAGATGTCCTCTAGACAACAGCTTTATTCTGGCCAGGTGACGCAGATTAAAGAAGCAGGACGGCACAGCTGGATTAATTTGTGCATCAAACATCAGGGCCACGGTCAGCGTCGGAGGTGGTACAATCTGACGCACCTGAAGTGAAGATCTCTGCTTGAGTGTCATTTAAGTGCAGAAAACGTCCCCCAAACAGTCTAAAAGTAGAGATTGATTCAACTTTAACTCTGTTGGCTCTTCAGGGATCCAGTGGAGTTTCATCAACAACAGCCTTCAGTCTCAGAACACCAGCAGGTCCGCTAAAGGCAGCAGCAGCCTGGACCGGCTCTACTCACGCAAGCTCCGCAAGCAGCTCGTCCACCACAAGCAGGTAAATGTCACTCAGCCCAACCCCGCCCCCCCCATCTGGTCTATTAATCAATGATTCTGAATAACTCATCAAACGTGTCCGGCGACTTGTGTTTGAGATTCTCAGACAGCAGATTAGCCTGAAATGTGTTTCTAGTGTTTATATTTTAATAGTGCCTTTTTTATCGTAGCAGTTAAATCTATTGAAAGCAAAACAGAAAGCTTTGGTTGAGCAGATCGAGAAGGAGAAGATCCAGAGTAACAAAGGCTCTTCCTACAAACTGCTGGTGGAACAGGCCAAACTCAAGCAAGCCACGTCCAAGGTGAGCCCCACGCCACGCACTCCTCTCGACTCTTGAGGTTTATGGTCTGGAGATCTGTACTCTTCTGGGAGCCTCGCTCAGCCCAGGAGTTGGTTTTAAAGTCTTCGCTCAAACAGAAGAGTGCAGAGTTTCAGGCTGTAAACTGTGGTGAGATGCTGCTCTTGTTCAGCGTCCTGAAGCCTTCTGGTCCTCCGCAGCACTTTAAAGACCTGATCCGTCTGCGGCGGACCGCCGAATGGCCTCGCTCCACGTTGGATGCCGAGTCCACAACAGCCAAAGAAGCCCCAGAAGTGGAGCCTTTGCCCTTCACCCTTTGCCACGAACGCTGCATCTCTGTGGTGCAGAAGCTCGCCCTCTTCCTGCTCTCCATGGACTTCACCTGCCACGCCGATCTGCTGCTTTTTGTCTGCAAGGTACTCGCTGTCTGGAACAGATCAAACGCACCGACAGAAACACACTCATGATTCTTCTCCACATTCAGGTGCTCGCTAGGATCGCCAACGCAACACGACCCACAATCCACCTGTGTGAGGCGGTGTCTGAGCAGCAGCTGGAGCGCCTCCTGCTGCTGCTGGTGGGGACGGACTTTAATCGTGGAGACATCTCCTGGGGGGGAGCTTGGGCACAGTACTCCCTCACCTGTATGCTGCAGGACATCCTGGCAGGTGTGTTTGATAACTTTTTATTGTAGTTTTTTAGGAGGGGAGTGTTTGTTTTCTACTTCTGAAGCTCCTCTAAACCTCCGCCTGAGGCTGTGATATTTATTTTATCTCATTTTATTCAATTCTGCGTTTGTTAATAAGACCAGATTAAACTCTAGCACAAACCCTGTGGCTGTTTCAGGTGAGCTGCTGACTCCGAGCTCTCTGGACGCCATGGATGAGGTGGTGGTCGTAGGTGACGAGGTCGGAGCGTCATCGTCCTCGGCTGCAGCAGATTCCGACGACTCGCTGGTCCAGCCATCCACCATCCCGCTGTTGGAGAGCATCGATCTGGTGCCTGATATAATCGCAGGTACTACAGGGAGCTCCTCAGTGTTCCTAAGTGCGTGGGAAGACCGCTTCCTTTTCCACACAGCTGATAGAAACTCACGTTGTGTCAGAACAGTACAAAAAACCTTTTTGGTTTCATTTCTGCGCTTTTGTTCAGCTAAACGTGCAAAACTTAAGTTTTTATTCTGAATAATAATCTCTGCCTGTATCCTTGCTGCTTTAGTTTGATTCGACCCGCGGAGGCAGAACCTTTGGGTGTTTTCTCCACTTTCATTCGTCTCTTTTTGGAGGATTTCTCTTATCCGATGGCGCCATCTAGTGGCTGACAAGCATATCACACAAATCATTTCTTGAGTTTGTTTAAGATGGCGACGTCACGTTTCTGTTTATAAATGTGCTTCTGTAGCGACAAACAGCTAAAACGTTGTTTTTTTACGAGTATTATTCCCGTGTCATGTTGTGTTCTCATATGTTTTTATTTTAGAGACTTACTTGTCCGTGAAAAGTTCATCAACTCTGCATCAGCCGAGGTTTTCCTTGCATTTAAACCTCGTAAGCGGTAGTCTGACGCTTTTGGTTAGTTCTGGTTGGCGCTCAGTTTCCTATTGCACAGAGCTCAGCGGGGCGGGGGGCGTGCTTAGCAACAATAAAGACGTATCACTTACATTTTATCACAGTACATGATGAGATCATCACTTTTACAGATATCTGAAAAATCATACATCGTTTCTGAAAAGGGGAAACCTTTGGAAAGATACTTTAAATGTAAAATGTGGTCTGAGGTTGTCAAACTCAAGACTTCAGCAAGTTTTTATTCAATTTGCATGAATCAGGAGAGACGTGTTGCTGGATCATGTCATGTTCTGTCTCTGGTGGTTTTGGTGTCTGATTTGGTCTCTCACTCTCTTATCTTAACATCCAGATAACGTGCAGGTCCACTCCTAAAGGACAAAATCACACTCGTCTTGTGGTGGTTAAGAAATCTGCAGAATCAAAGTGGCAGAACACACTGCTGGCATACGAAGCGCACATATTTGGTTTCAGTCTTTGGTGCTGGTGATATTTCACCATTCTGTCTTTAGAGACCATAATAAACACGTTTTATTCCCAAAGACTTGGGTCTGAACATCCTTGCTCCGGTCGCTCTTCTTTGCTTTTATAGCAGCAGCGTTGTTGCTCCTCCGTCAAATAGAATCAGACGTTGTCTAAATGTGTTTGAAGCCATCTGAAAACTTTTTTATTGTTTTAACTAAATAATTATGGAAACAAACACTAAACAGCTCAACTCTGCCACCTGCTGATGGAAATCGGTGTCTATAGTCTCTGGATGTTCAATATTTGATGTTTTTACCCATAATCCAGTGTTCCCAGTGTGCGTTACAGATGTTTGAAGTTGGGAGTTTGTTGCTAAGCAACACAAACCTGGTTTTGTCCTCCACAGGTGCTCCGCCTCTGTCGTCTTTAGAAAAAGATAAAGACTTGGACTTTGACCTGCTTCAGGACCTGATGGACGTGGACATCGATCCTTTAGATATCGATTTGGAGAAAGATCCGCTCGCCGCCAAAGTGTTTAAGGTTAGCTGATCCTGGGCCTCTTGATCAAGACCTTGTAGCTTCATGGGCAGACATGCTTCTCTGAGGCATCTAGAAGTGACTTAGGTTCTAATGGGAAGATGTCAGAAGACATGAGGTGTCCTAGTTTGAGTCAGGGTGTCCACACTGGTCTGTGTCCACCTCTGGAGTTATCCAGAGAAGGTGTGTGGGTTATGTGGGTGGTTCTGTGTCAGGGTGCATTGTGGGAAGATGATGAGCTGGCGAGGGGAGCGTGAAGCTCAAACCTTCAGTCCTGTGGTTCATCTGGACCTAAACGTGCAGCTGCTTGAAGCGGTTCCTGAGTGAAACACCTCTATCCAAACATGTTCAGATGCCGATCTGGCTTCCAGGTTCTCCAGATCTTATGGAAGCCCACTTCGGGATGCCGTGGTTGTAGGTGGGAGCTCACTTTTCCTCTTCCAGAGCCAGATCCCACATCCCACCTTCTGTTGGCAAAGGAAGGTCATAATATTATGGCTCATTGTTTTCGTGGCATTAACATGACAGTTCCCACTTTTAGGAGTTGAATTGGGAAAACTGGGAATTCCTCTGAACAGATTGTAATAATCTCAGTTGAAATACTGTGTTGAACAGAAACGGATGTAAACACCGTAAGGGATGGAGGTTACAGTTCTACTTTCAGTAAAATAATGTAGAAAGGAAAGCTTTTGGTGATAAATCAGACCTGGTGTTGTTTTCCAGCCTATCAGCAGCACCTGGTACGACTACTGGGGAGCAGACTACGGCACGTACGGATACAACCCTTACATCGGAGGTGTCGGAATTCCAGTTTCCAAACCGTCTGTCGCTGTGGAGAAGCCTGGCTCTCAGAGTCTGTCTGTGTCCGTGTCTCAGGGTGAGAACATCTGCCTTTAGCTGATGTTTCTGACGCTGCTCACCAGATCTGACTCCTTTCCTGTGTTTCACAGCGCTGGACGCCCGACTGGAAGTGGGCCTGGAGCAGCAAGCTGAGCTGATGCTCAAGATGATGGCGACTCTCCAGGCCGACTCCATCCTGCAGGCACTCGGTTCTACTACGTCCACTGGTGAGGTGCTGCCTGTAGGGAGCGCTGGTTCCTGTTAGGAAATGGCTTTTTACCCAAACTCCCCCCTCCTGCTGTGGTTTATCATAAACGTCACTATTCACTGATTCAGAGCAGCGGCAGAAAATGTGTTTTGGTGGAATTAAGCTCCCAGCTGCTTCTGTGGCACTGCTCTCCAGAATAATGACTCATCTCGTTCTGTGGTTTCCAGTCAGCCAGCCCTCTAACGGGACCGACGACTCGCTGCTCCGAGCTCTCCACGGGGGAGGCTCTCCTCCCGTTGGCAGCCTGATGGGCCAGCCCTCCTCAATCCCCATTCTGAGTGCCTGCTTCAACAAGCTGTTCTCCATGCTGCAGGTCCATCATGTCCAGGTCTGCTCCACCTCACCCGGGCTCCAACCATAGCGCTCCTGTAGACCGGTGCTCATTAAGTCCTGCTGGAGCTATTGGAGACGGCAGCCCTGAATAAGCATAAAAATATCGGTATGCTTGTTAACGTTGACCAGGTGAGCTATAGTAACATTTCCTGTTCTCCCAGCTGGAGTCGCTGCTGCAGCTGTGGCTGACGCTCAGCCTCAACACCTGTTCTGGCGGCAGCGAGGAGAGCGGCTCGGAGATCTTTCTGTTCAACGCTAGCCGAGTGCCGACCATCCCGCTCAACCAGGGTAGGAGCTTCTGACGAGTGTCTGGTCACTCCGTCAGGTGCTTCCTGTAGTTCTCATTCCTGTGTGTGTCTGGTTCAGCATCCATCAGCAGTTTCCTGTCTGTGCTGGCGTGGTACCCCAACACCTCCTTAAGGGCGTGGTGTCTGGTGCTGCACTCCCTTACTCTGATGACCAACATGCCAGCGTGTGGTAAGGATGGATGCGACTTTAGATCCGAGTCAGAACCCCAGTTAGTATAGGCTAGTGAGTAGTAACCCTAGTTGGTACCTGTGAGGGCATCTACCTGAACGCCGAAAGCTCCTGCAGAAGAAAACATTTGCCAGATTTTTCTTGGAAGTCCAGATTAATAACCCTAATCGTGTCCTTCGGTTGTTGTGATGTGGAGGGACTCGTATGAAACCTGTTTTGAACTTGCAGCATCCAGCAGCGGGATGAGTTCTCAGGAAAGCTCCGCCCAGCAGATGGTGTCCGACTCCAACCTGCTCCATGTGCTGGTGCGCTTCCTGTCCAGCAGCAACACCAACGGTATGAGCCAGCACAGCTCCCAGGTGGGACCCACAGCCACCCAGGCCATGCATGAGTTCCTCACCCGCCTGCAGGTCCACCTGTCCTCCACCTGTCCCCAGATGTTCAGCGAGTTTCTGCTCAAACTCATGCACATCCTGTCTACGGAGAGGTGAGGTCTCATACTGGAGCTTTTAGCAGCTGGACAGCAGGGCTCGATGAGAGGACTAATGATTGATTCTGATCCATCAGAGGTCCGTTCCAGTCAGGCCAGGGTCCGCTGGACGCCCAGGTGAAACTGCTTGAGTTCACTCTAGAGCAGAACTTTGAGGTGGTGTCAGTGGCGACTATCTCCTCCGTCATCGAGTCCATTACCTTCCTGGTTCACCACTACATCACCTGTTCAGATAAAGTGGTTTCCCGTAGCGGCTCAGACAGCTCGGTGGGCGCTCGGGCCTGCTTTGGGGGTCTGTTTGCAAACATAATTCGTCCAGGAGATGCAAAAGCCGTCTGTGGAGAAACCACCCGTGACCAGCTGATGTTCAACCTCCTGAAGCTGGTGAACGTGCTGGTGCAGCTGCCTCTGTCCGGAGACCGGGAGTTCAGCGGACGTCTGCCGCCGGTCGGCAGCGGAGCGGCTGATAGCAGCGTGTCGGACGAGGAGAAGGTCTGCGGCAGCAAAGAGGGCATTGCTGGTGGATCCACCTCCAGTCATGGTCCTGCTGCGGGTGTGGCTGACCTGGTGCTGGCCAATCAGCAGATCATGAGCCAGATCTTATCAGCTTTGGGTCAGTGCAACAGCAGTGCCATGGCTATGATCATTGGTGAGATGTGTAGAGATTTATCAGCTGATTAACCTGACCTAAAGAAGGTCCTTGTCAGGTGGGGAAGTCTCTACATGCTAACACACGTGTCTGCTTTCCAGGAGCTAGCGGTCTCCACCTCACCAAACATGAGAACTTCCATGGTGGTCTGGATGCCATCTCCGTGGGGGACGGCCTCTTCACCATCCTCACGACTCTGAGTAAGCGGGCCAGCTCGGTGCAGGTCATGCTGCAGCCTATCCTCACATACATGGCCTGTGGTTACATGGGTCGACAGGTAAATGCCTGCTTCCCTCACCTTCAGCAGAAACGTTGTTTCTCAGACTGATGTCGGCTCTGTTACTCTGACCTTCAGGGGTCTCTTTCTACCTGCCAGCTGTCGGAGCCGCTCCTGTGGTTCATCCTCCGAGTGTTGGACACCAGCGAGGCCCTGAAGGCCTTCCATGACATGGGTGGGTGAATAAAACATGCCGTGTCTCTGATGCTGTAAGCTGCTGTTTCTCTCATGGGGAGCTTCAGATGATGATAACTGAACAGCTTGTTGGTTTAGTTTGAATCAGGATCAGATGATGGGTGATGTGGGATTGTTGCCTCCTCCTGGAGGATAATGGTCGTTTCTTGTTGTCCCTACTCAGGTGGTGTGCAGTTGATTTGTAACAACATGGTGACAAGTACCAGAGCCATTGTAAACACAGCACGGAGTATGGTGTCCACCATCATGAAGTTCTTGGATTCAGGTCCTGGAAAGACGGCAGACGGGAGTCCTAAATCCAGAGTGATGACGTCAGAACCGGACAATGCAGAAGGACTCCATAACTTTGCTCCTTTAGGTGCTTTTAGGATCTTGTGAAGCTTCTTTAGAGTCTGCAACCTCCTCTAATCAGTGTTGTTCCTCCTCAGGTACCATCACCTCCAGCAGCCCCACGGCACAGCCAGCAGAGGTTCTCCTCCAGGCCACTCCCCCTCATCGCCGTGCCCGCTCAGCAGCCTGGTCCTATATCTTCTTGCCAGAGGAGGCATGGTGTGACCTCACCATCCACCTTCCAGCCGCGGTGCTGCTGAAGGAAGTCCACATCCAGCCTCACCTGGCTTCTCTAGCCAGTAAGTAGCTCTGGTTAGAAGCTTTGTGCTTTTGTCTCCGAGATAAAAGCTTCTCTATTTCTGATACGTTTGACCACATTTCCTTCCTGCTGCCCGCCAGCCTGTCCGTCCTCTGTGTCGGTGGAGATCAGCGCAGATGGAGTGAACATGCTGCCGCTCTCCACGCCTGTCATCACCAGCGGCTTAACGTACATAAAGATCCAGCTGGTGAAAGCGGAGGTGGCGTCTGCTGTCTGCCTGAGGCTGCATCGCCCTAGAGATGCCAGCACTCTGGGTCTCTCTCAGATCAAACTCCTGGGTCTGACGGCGTTTGGGAACACCTCGTCTGCAACCGTCAACAACCCTTTCCTGCCCTCTGAGGACCAAGTTTCCAAAACCAGGTACCCAAGCTGCTTCCTGATTGTCTGAAAGGTATGGCTGGTGTTTGACCTCCTCCTCCTCCTCCTGCAGCATCGGGTGGCTTCGTCTCCTCCACCACTGCCTCACCCACGTCGGTGACCTTGAGGCCATGATGGCCAGCTCTGCTGCCCCCACAGCCAACCTGCTGCAGACCTGCGCTGCACTGCTCATGTCACCGTACTGTGGCATGCATTCCCCCAACATCGAGGCTGTGCTGGTTAAGATCGGCCTTCAGTCCACAAGGATTGGCCTGAAACTCATCGACATTCTGCTGAGGAACTGTGCTGCTTCTGGTACCGACCCGGCTAGTGAGTCACACACAGCGACGCATCAGACCTGAACCCGACTAGACCCCAAACGCATCAGACCTGGAACCGATTAGACCCCAAATGCACCAGAGAGCCGACTAGACCCCAAATGCACCAGTGACCCAACTAGACCCCAAATGTGCCAGACTTGGACCCGACTAGACCCCAAATGCACCAGAGAGCCGACTAGACCCCTAATGCATCAGATCTGAACCCGACTAGACCCCAAACGCATCAGACCTGGAACCGATTAGACCCCAAATGCACCAGAGAGCCGACTAGACCCCAAATGCACCAGAGAGCCGACTAGACCCCAAATGCACCAGAGACCCAACTAGACCCCTAATGCATCAGATCTGAACCCGACTAGACCCCAAACGCATCAGACCTGAACCTGACTAGACCCCAAATGCACCAGAGAGCCAACTAGACTCCAAACGCGCCAGACTTGGACCCGACTAGACCTCAAATAGCTCTTTTCCATCGCCTGGTCTGGGACGGTCAGGTCTGGGTATTATGGACCGGTATGTACCGGTATGGGTCTAGAAGTTTTCTGGCAAGCGTTTCTATCACATTCCAGGCTCCAGTAACTAGGCGGGGTAGCGTAATGCGTCACGCGCGATGTGTGCCTTAACGTCACACAGCGCGACGAGATCGCGCCAAAACACAACAAGAGGTCTAGTCGGGTCCAAGATGCTCCAGAGAGCTGACTAGACCCTAAATGCACCAGACCTGGACCTGACTAGACCCCAAACGCATCAGACCTGGACCAGACTAGACCCCAAACGCATCAGACCTGGACCCTACTAGACTCTAAATGCACCAGAGAGCCAACTAGACCCCAAACGCATCAGACCTGGACCAGACTAGACCCCAAATGCATCTGAGAGCCGACTAGACCCCAAAAGTGCCACACCTGGACCCAACTAGATCCCAAAAGCACCAGAGAGCTGACTAGACCCCAAACGCGCCAGACCTGGACCCGACTAGACCCCAAATGCGCCAGACTTGGACCCGACTAGACCTCAAATAGCTCTTTTCCATCGCCTGGTCTGGGACGGTCAGGTCTGGGTATTATGGACCGGTATGTACCGGTATGGGTCTAGAAGTTTTCTGGCAAGCGTTTCTATCACATTCCAGGCTCCAGTAACTAGGCGGGGTAGCGTAATGCGTCACGCGCGATGTGTGCCTTAACGTCACACAGCGCGACGAGATCGCGCCAAAACACAACAAGAGGTCTAGTCGGGTCCAAGATGCTCCAGAGAGCTGACTAGACCCTAAATGCACCAGACCTGGACCTGACTAGACCCCAAACGCATCAGACCTGGACCAGACTAGACCCCAAACGCATCAGACCTGGACCCTACTAGACTCTAAATGCACCAGAGAGCCAACTAGACCCCAAACGCATCAGACCTGGACCAGACTAGACCCCAAATGCATCTGAGAGCCGACTAGACCCCAAAAGTGCCACACCTGGACCCAACTAGATCCCAAAAGCACCAGAGAGCTGACTAGACCCCAAACGCGCCAGACCTGGACCCGACTAGCCCCCAAATGCACCAGAGAGCTGACTAGACCCCAAATGCATCAGACCTGAATCCGACTAGACCCCAAACGTGCCAGACCTGTACCCGGCTGGACCCCAAACGCATCAGACCTGGACCGGACTACAGCCCAAACGCCCCAGACACCCGACTAGACCCCAAAAGCATCAGACCTGGACCCAACTAGACCCCAAACGTGCCAGACCTGTACCCGACTGGACCCCAAACGTGCCAGACCTGTACCCGACTGGACCCCAAACGTGCCAGACCTGTACCCGACTGGACCCCAAACGTGCCAGACCTGGACCTGACTAGACCCCAAACGCATTAGACCTGAACTCGACTAGACCCCAAACGCCCCAGAGACCCGACTAGACGCCAAAAGCATCAGACCTGGACCCGACTAGACCCCAAACGTCTCAGACCTGGACCCGACTAGACCACAAACGTGCCAGAAACCTGTCTCTTAACAGCTGCTCAGTAGGCGACGTCTTGTGTTTCCTCTCTGTCTTCTCTAAGCCCCGTAGATAACTAGTTTCTTTTTGTGGTGTAAAGTCGACTCCGGTGCGGTGGACTCTGATTGGTTAGCAGCAAAACGATGGTTACACCTGGTTACTGTTTATTTTATTCATCAGCGATTTTTGTATTTAGTGTTTTATCCGTTACTCTTCGTCGTTTCGTTACACCACCAAACGATTATCCTCGGACCGGTAACAAACATCCAGGTTAAGCTGGGACTGGGAGGAATCCCAGGTCCAGAGGAAAAGGACCTGTTTTGACTTGTATTAATCTTTGTTTTTGTCTCTAAGACTTGAACAGTCCTTTGCTGTTTGGGAGACTGAACGGCCTCTCCTCCGACTCCACCATCGACATCCTGTACCAGCTGGGGACCACACAGGATCCTGGGACCAAAGATCGGTACGGAGAGCCCCGGGTTTTAGCATTTATTCATAATAAAGGGAGGAGCGGCTCTGACATCGACACTGTGAGGAGGTTCTTCATGCTCGTTCTGACCTTTGACCTTCCAGGATCCAGGCCCTCCTGCAGTGGGTCCATGACTCCTCTCGAGTGGCGGCCCATAAACTGAGTGTCCCGATAGGATACGCCGGTGCTGGCTCCTCCTCTTCCTCCTCGAGGGAGTATGGCCTCCTGATGCCGTCCCCATCCCACCTCCACTGCGTGGCGGCCATCTTGTGGCACAGCTACGAGCTGCCTGTGGACTACGACCTCCCGGGTCTCCTCAACAGAGACCTCTTTGAGTCAGTCGTGCCTCATTGGAGCTGAATACCCATAATTCCGTTCTGTCTTGTGTACTGATTCTGCTGTTTTCTCCAGGCTGCTGTACAGCTGGTCCATGTCTCTGCCGTGTAACATCGTCCTGAAGAAGGCTGTGGACAGCTTGTTGTGTTCCATGTGTCACATCCACCCCAGCTACTTCGCTCTGCTCATGTCCTGGATGGGGATCGTCTCTGCGCCCAGCGCCACGCACTCTCAAGCACAGCAGCGCCGCCTCGCCATGACGGACGATGGCAAAAAGCAGCATGATGCCAACGCTAATGCTGCAGGACTCACAGATGACTCCAAGCATGCCAGACCTCCGGTTAATCTGTCAGAGTCTCAGCTGACCACCCTGGCTGCCGCTTCCCAGTCTCCCGGGGCGATAGAGCAGCTACTGGACTCGGGCCTGCCCTCCCTGCTGGTCCGAAGCCTGGTTCAGTTCTGCGTTGGCCTCCTGGTCAGCGCCGACCTTCCTCTGCCTGCCGCCCAGGCCGAGAGGCGGCACCACCACTACCACTCGCCCTCCTCCCAGAGCCGCCGTCCTCTGGCTGCAGAGCTGGCTGCTCCGGTTCTCCAGTTCCTCACTGAGGTCGGAAACAGTCACATGATGAAGGACTGGCTGGGAGGACCGGAGGTGTACCCTCTGTGGACGGCGCTGCTCTTCCTGCTTTGCCACTCCAGCGCCAGCACCAGTGCTGGTTCAAACGCCGGTCAGCCACCGGGAGCCGGATCTGCTGCCGGCCCCCCTCCCCCCCAGAGCCAGCCTTCAGGCTCCCGCTTCTCCCTGCTGTCTTCAGGAGACGCGGGAGGCCTGACCACACAGCAGAGGACGGCTCTGGAGAACACCACCGTGGCCTTTTTCCTCCAGTGCATCTCATGTCATCCTAACAACCAGCGGCTCATGGCTCAGGTCAGTTCCCAAGTCGGAGCTGTTCATTTATATTTGAACAAAATGGGGGGGGGGTTCTGGTTCTGGAACATAAATCAGGATCTAACCAAAGGTTTTAACACTGAAGATTCCCGTCATTATTTTGCTGAGTTTCCTTTCTGGCTGCAGGTTCTCTGTGAACTCTTCCAGTCCGCTCCTCAGCGGGGGAACGTCCCCGTCTCCAGGAACATCTCAGGATTCATTCGAAGGCTTTTTCTGCAGCTGATGCTGGAGGATGAGAAGGTCACAGTCTTCCTTCAGTCTCCCTGTCCGGTTGGTACCCCCCCCAGCTTCTAGAACAGCTGTTGCTTTGACTGAGTGTGATTGGTGTTTTGTAGGGCTTTGACCAGAAGGGGGCAGCATGGTCACATGAATCTGTTTCCTCCATCACATCGAGTCCTTCAGACAGATCTGTGACTTTCTAATGACCTTTAACCACGGGCACCAGGTTGGTGCTGAAACAGAATAAACAAACGATCTAGTTCTAAATGTGAAGCAACTTTTCACTACGATGCAGAAAATGTATTCTTGTACAGTTATTGTTATTTACAGTACCGGCCAAAGGTTTGGACACACCTTCTCATCCAATGTGTTGTCTTTATCTTCATGACCATGACCATTGGGAGATTCTCACTGAAGGCAGCAAAACTATGAATGAACACATGAGGAGTTATGTACTTAACCAAAACAGGTGAAACAACTGGAAACATGTTTTATTTCTATTTTCTTCAAATAGCCACCCTTTGCTCTGATTACTGCTTTCTTGGCATTCTCTTGATGAGCTTCCAGAGGAAGTCACCAGTGATGGTTTTCCAACCGTTTTGAAGGAGTTCCCAGAGGTGTTGGCCCTTTGTAAATGGTCATGGTCATGAATGTAAAGGAAACGCTGAACGAGAAGGTGTGTCCAGAACTTTGGCCGGTACTGTAAGTAGAAAACGATTCAGAATAACACCAAAAATCATTAGATGTATTCAGCCAGAGGAGAAAGTTGCTTCAGATGGCAGGACCTGATATTCGGTCATCTCTCCTCTGATTGGCTAAGAGCGACACAACTCCACCACTTACTCTGTTTGTTCTGCAACGTTGATGCTGTATCTCCACAAATGACACAAGTCTGGAGGAGTTCTGCTATGAGGTGGAGTTGCTAATGCTAGCAGTTAGCTTCTACTAGCAGAGACGTTCTGCTGTTTCCTGGACTAAACCAACAACAGCCTTCCCCGTCATGAGCCAAGATGGGTGAGTCCATGAATGTTACGCCTGGAACACACCAGACACGGAAGCGCGATGAAGCGCCGTGGAACGACGAGCGCTTCTAATCAGCGACCTTGTTAACCTACGCTCTCAGTCACATCAGCTGCGAGGCGCCACTAAGGCTCGCATTGTGCAGCTATTGTTTTGGCGTGAACTCTCATTTTTTCGTGAGCTGCGTCAATCCTAGCAGGAAGTCTAAACAAAGCAGAAGAGGCAGGCCAGTAAATTTAACAAAAGAAAAGAAAATTTTCAAAATAAAACACCGCAATTGATTAATGTGATCATTTTTGTGTTTCTAAACAGACTAGAGAGTTGAAAATGAACAAACACACACACACACCTGCGGACAAACACAGCGTTTCCTTAATTTTTTATGCAGTTTTTACAGCAAAAGATGGATTTAATAAATGTGAATACAAACAAATATGTTTAATTAAAAGGTAAGTACACAATAGTATTGTACACTACCACAAGCACTTGGTTATTTAACCATTTAGAAAGGAACTAAAACAGCAGCAGGATCAGCGCAGTTTCTATCAAGCAGGGAAAACTGGTTACACACACACGCACACGCACGCTTGCATGCACAGCAAGGGCACGGGGTGGGGTGTGAGCAGAAAAGCTCGTTGAAAATTCTCGCCTGATGTGAACAGAGGAGGAGTGATTTGCTTTGCAGCTGATGTGCTCTGGGCGTTCAGTGACGGTGTGATGTAGATCTGTCAGGATTTTCTAATCCTAGAGTTTCACCGTCTGTTTTCTATCAGAAGCTACTGCAGGAGGTAGGTGTAGGAGACTATTTTCATGTTCAGCCTGACCCGTCAGAAATAATTACAACATTCCACATTTTTTTTAAAACTGAGTAAATTCTAATAAATGAATGAATCTGTGGTTTGGGTTAAACGTGTGAATGTTGGTGTTCTGGTGAGTTAGAAGTGAAGCTAACTGTAAAACAGCTGCTTGTTCAGCTCGCTATCCTTCACCTGTCCTCCTGATCACGGCTGTTTTTTTTTCCAGTTGTATAAAGGACGCATAAACGCCACCAGTCACATGATCCAGCACCCCATGTACGGCGCGGGCCACAAGTACCGCACCCTCCACCTGCCCATCTCCACCTCACTGGCTGAAGTCCTGGACCGCGTTTCAGGTGTGTGATGCTAGCTTACAGGTGCAGCGTGTAACGGGTGTGGTTGGCTAACACCCACTGAAACGCTGAGCACAAACGATTTTAAATGCATTCATAAGGAATATGGTGAATTATTTTAAACAAAGCCAAGGTAAAGATGGAAAAAGCAACACATCAAGGTAAAAATCAAACTTGCGCTAGTCAAAAGCTGAGTGGAAAAGACGAACGTTTCCAGGAGCAGCAGCAAAGGCTGGATCTCGTCTGAGCCTCCACCCGATCCAGGACCTGGACCGGCTGGTCGACAGACCTAAGATCTCGGGCTTGTTGTTTTGATGACTGGATGTAAACTTTATTTAGGACTAACGGGTTTTTGCGTTAATGTTTCTGTAAGCTCCTGATGAAGGCCGGCGGATGCTTCGTGCTAAGAGTCGATGAATTATGAACCATGAATACGTCTTTGACCCCTTAAAGCTGCAGGTTTTATTATTGCCCTGATGTCATGGAGGTCGCTGTGGCGATGCCGTGAGCTGCAGTCCTTCCTATTGGTTTGTAGCAGGCTGTGATGCTGATTAATAGCTCCCCTCTGGAGACCTTGAACAGCTGATGGAAAACCTGATGCACCGCCGCTAGTAAAGGATCACGTGTGAGGTGGTGAGACTGTTATGTACGTGTTTCTGGTTTTCTGTCAGACACGCCCAGCATCACCGCTAAGCTGATCAGTGAGCAGAAGGAGGACAAGGAGAAGAAGAACCATGAGGAGAAGGAGAAGATGAAAGCAGACAGTGGTTTCCAGGACAACTACAGTGTTGTTGTCGCCACAGGTACTCGAATAAAACCCAGTCCTGACAATCCCTTTGGAACAGTACCAATTTAAACTATGGTGGGGTTAAGGAGATGGAGTCCATTTTAAGATGGCAGCCATCTCTTTGGTGTAGATAGCTAACAGCTAACTAGCTGTTAGCATATCAGTCCTGTAGAAATTGGTGGGAAACTCCCCTTCTTGGTCATTTATCAGAAACAAAACGTTTGTTCTGCAGTCAGAGACGTGAATGCGCCTCCATTCATTTTTGCCCTCAGGTCTGAAGTCCCAGTCCAAACGAGCTCTTTCAACACCACCCCGACCCCCGTCAAGAAGGGGACGCGTCATGAGTGACAAGCTGACGGCTTCGTCAGGCGTGGACCCCTCGGCGAAGACCATCAGCGTTCCCGTCTTCCACCTCTATCACAAGCTGCTCCCAGGTACCGTGTGCAGACACGGATGTGTAACTGGAAGTGGCCAGAGCTCATTCCTGACTCCGCGGTTTTCCTCTCCAGGTCAGCCCCTCCCCCCCGAGATGACCCTGGCTCAACTGCTGACGCTCCTGTACGACCGCAAGCTGCCACAGGGCTACCAGTCCATCAACCTGACGGTCAAACTGGGATCCAAGGTCATCTCCGACCCGGGCCTGTCCAAGACGGACTCCTTCAAGAGGCTTCGCACAGAGAAAGGTACTAAAGAGTCCATAAGGATGATATTAATGTAATAACGTTCAAATGCCTCGTTTGAGCCGGTTCTGATCCATTTAATCACATTCAGGGACTCGACTCGCATCGCCTGCTTTTAGGTGCAGTTGAAAGAGAAGCTTTGATGTCTGATAACTTTGAGATTAGTTGGTTAACTAGTTGGTTAACCTTCAGTGAATGAAAGCATTTGGACCCTGGGTTCTGTTCCTGCCGGGCCTGAGCCAACGGGATGTCTGATAGTCGGATCCACTGAGTCGGATGATGGAATGAAGGACATTTGGTCGGGATGGACTCGGAACCGTCGACCTTCCCGGGCTGCAGCCTGGGTATATTTAGCCTTTTGGTTCTGCAGACTCACGGATCAGAACTCGGTGCTGTGATGACATCAGCACGGTCGTCTCCGCAGTGACCTGCCGTCCTTCCATTATGATCCAGCATTGATGTTTTAACACTTTACTGGCTGTTAGTTTGCAGTATGAAGAGTTTATAAACCACATGAAGACAAATAAATGTTTCTGTGCTGATTTAAAAACTTTATTCTGTAAATGATCGAACTTTAAGCTGAAAGTCTCGTTCCCTGGTTTGGATTCTCGTTGTTCTGAGCCAAAGGCCGAGCTTTTCCCTGCTCATATCCTGCTGCTCTTGTTGCAGTCGACCACTGTGACTTGCTGAACAGCTGTCCTGAGGACGAACCCATGGCGGCCGGTGATGAATGTCTGGAGGCCGCCACAGACGAGTCCCTGCTTGAGACGAGTCCAATCCAGTCTCCGCTGCAGGTCTTTGCTGGGATGGGCGGTCTGGCCCTCATTGCAGAGAGGCTGCCGATGCTCTACCCCGACGTCATTCAGCAGGTGACCTTCAGCCTCAGATTGCTGCTGTCCTCGGCTCAGAGCGGTTTTAATTCTCCGGGCTGTTCACAGGTCAGTGCTCCCGTGGTTCCCTCTGCCACGCAGGAGAAGCCCAAGGACAGCGACCAGTTTGAGTGGGTCACCATCGAGCAGTCGGGCGAGCTGGTGTACGAGGCTCCAGAGTCTGTTGCTGCCGAGCCACCTCCTGTCAACAAGCAGCAGTCCCAGTCCTCTCCCTCGTCCTCCTCCTCAGTGCAGACCATGTCTCCCATCCCTGCCCACTCGCTGGCTGCTTTCGGCCTCTTCCTTCGCCTGCCGGGGTATGCTGAGGTGCTGCTGAAGGAGAGGAAGCACGCCCAGTGTCTGCTGCGCCTGGTGCTGGGTGTGACGGACGACGGAGAGGGCAGTAAGTTGAAAACACCACGCTGCTCTTCTCTGGAGGAGTTTTAGAAAGACCCACATCTCACTTATATGTGTAGATGACCTGATTACCAAGTCTGTTCATTAAGGATGAAGTTTACCCTGAATTTAGTCTGATTAAGAATCCACAACTGATAGCAAAATGAAAACGTGTCTTTGGATGTTCTCCTAGGTCACATTCTGCAGTCTCCATCAGCCAACGTCCTGCCCACGCTGCCGTTCCACGTCCTCCGAGCTTTGTTCAGCAGCACTCCTCTCACCACAGACGACGGCGTGCTGCTGCGTCGCATGGCTCTGGAGATCGGAGCCATCCACCTCATCCTGGCCTGTCTGTCGGCGCTCAGCCACCACGCCCCCCGCAACCCCAATGCCACCAACAGCGTCTCAGAGGTGGGAGGAGGTCATTGACCAGTGTTTGCCATATTTATCAGTAAAGTCTCCATTACCTGCAACCAGGTATCACCTGCTTCTGGCATCTTCTGTAGTAAACTAGTCCACTTTCCTCATTCATTTCCTCTAATGATCATTTTTAAACATTACCAGAAGGTTTAAACGGTAAAAGTAAAGCTGCAGACTCCTGTTGGGCTCCTGGCCTCAGGTCTGCTGCCAGCCCTGACAAAGAAACCAAAGGAGAAGCGAGTCATCATTAACCACTCCCCGCCTCTCTGGCCTTTACTCAAGGCTCCTTTTGTAAACCTCACCTACACCCGTCTCTGCACAGCCAGACCCTGACAAACGACTTAATTGTTATTCCTGAAAGAAAAGGAGCAAATTGAGTTTTGGAGAGGAACGGGGGGATGTCGGAGACATGTCCTTCGTCTTATTGACACCCTCAGGGTGAAAAGCAGACAGAGGACAGTGACGTGAATGGAGCCCATTTAAATTCCTCTCGGGTTTCTCCTCCTTTTTTCTGATTCAGAGGATTTCTTTTGAGCTGAACAGCAGCTGACAAAACCTCATGAAGTTTTAGGCTTCGGAACGTAAATCCTCTAATATTGGCCTGTATTCAGTAGGGCTGCAACAACGAATCGATAAATTCGATGAAAATCGATTACTAAAAGCGTTGGCAACGAATTGCGTCATCGATTCGTTGTGTCGCACAACTCTTCCAAAAGCGCCCCCCCCTTCCCGCCTGCCGTTGCGCGCAGACCAGAGCAAGTCAGATCAGCACGAGGGAGAGCCGCAGATCAGCGCGAGGGAGAGCCGCAGATCAGCGCGAGAGAGAGCCGGTACCGGCAGATCAGCGTGAGGGAGAGCCGGCAGACTTGCGCTGCTGCGAACCGGTTCCGCATTGTTGCGCAGCGATCCAGGCTGCTGCTTCCAGCGCACGGTCCATTCTCAAAGTGGCGCAACCAAAAAACTATAATTAGCACACGATCGTTCTTGTCTGCACATGTTCTCTATTTTCTGTCTTATTTGTGCCTGAAGCGCTCTACTGCGCTCATCACCTGTGCTGTGGTGATGTCACCTCACGCAGCATCGAAAACGCGCTCTGCGCTTTTCGGTCAGGAGATCCCTTTGATCTGCTCAAAAGTAACTGATGAGGTGAAAAGGTAAGAATCCAGGCAACAGATTTTCTGGACAATTAAGAGGAGATGCAGGAAGATGAGAGACAGACAGGACAGGAAAATAGTTCAATAAAAACAAGAAAACAAAACAAAGTGTTGAAAAGTCAAATGTAGGTAGATTTATCTCCACGACACGTTTTTACCAGTAAAAAACAATAAGTTATACACATGTAATATTTATACATCTGATACAATTCAGATCACCTTCAAAACTCAGTCACACACCCAGGGCCGTTTCAAGACATTTTGGGGACCAAGGCAAAATGCCCCCCCCCCATAACTGGGCTCCCCAGAAGCCTCTGTGTAATTCATACCCTCTCCAGTAGTGTTAGTTATACGGTGTTTATAAAATCCCCTCAGATATTACTGACATGTTCTAATATTATCAGATGAAAAACTAAATTATCAGACATGCTGTCTCATCTGCTGCTTTTCTAAACTTGCAAAAAGTAACAAAACCATTTGAAAGCCACTATTTGTGGATTCTCTGAAAGTTTCCATGGAGTGTGTGACAACTTATTTTTTCATTGATCCTATCGTCTAATCTCACAGCTGAAACAAGCATCCTTAATAATCTGTGCACAGGAAGCTTACCGATGCTGTAGTAAAACAAAAGGTATAATAATTTATTATTAATAAAACCTTGTTGCAGCACTAAAGCAGAAAAATGAGATTTTGCATTAAATATGCAAATTATTTACATATGAATTGTTTTAGAGCCCTTTAATTGACAGAATCTGATATTAATTTAGTTCTTACAAAAAATGGGTCCCAACATGGATTGTGTGGCGTTGCCATAGTGTGACGTCATAGGCACAGATCCCCTGTCCTCTTGTTTGGAAATGGAAATATGGTCACCCTACATTAAACAAACTGTCCACCCGGGCTTTTGCGCTGCACAGAGACGCTTCGCTGCCTACGACTGAATGTCAGTTGAGAGTCAGTCTCATGCAGACTGACCAATGAAGAGAGGGCCTCAAGTTAAGACCCTCTCCTCATTGGTCAGTCCACACGAGGTGGGTCAAAGGTTACTCTGGGCGGGTTACGTGTTGTCAGGCATTCAAGTATTGAGTATATTTACTGCATATTACAGTAAAATATTCTGTATGTGACCACATTATGGTGATCCTCGGGTCGTGATGATGGAGCCCTTGAATATTGTTGCCCAGGGTACAACAAAGTGTTAATCTGGCCCTGGTTCCGCCGTCACATTCCCGCAGAAACTGGTTGATCACACCGGGGCCAGACTACTAGCATGTGGTTTTACAACCACAATGTCCTCAGAAGCAAAAACGCTTTTAAAAGGGAGGGAGGAGTCCTAACTGTTGCTGCAGGCGTGTTGTGATGAGAGTGCAGTTATATACTGGTTAATATATTTTTGGGTTCAGTTGCTTTCATGTGGCCTAATGTGAGTCTATTTGGGATCATTGGAATGATCAGCAGCATTTCTTGATGTGACTTTATGGCAGTTGCCCAGGGCATCATCACAAGGAGGATGGCATTCATTTACTTTTGTTTTATTTGGTATTTTTTCAGTCATTTTTGGAAATAGTGATCAATTTTGATTAATTCACAGCCTATGTTTAATTACATGTAAAAATTTGTTGTTTAACATCCCCAATTATAATAAATGTCAACAGATGAGATCAAACAAAACAGATGAGAATTGCCCTTAAGCTGTTTAACTTGGACCAAGCATTTTAGGTCACAGATAGATGTAGCTTAGGGTCTCTGTCTATACACCTTATAAGACAATTTAGGTGATGGCATGTTGTTTTTCTGCTATTGAACTGTTTTCTAATAATGTTGTGTTAAATAAAGTGAAGGAAGGAGATAAATAACGTTTCCCTAGCAGTTTTTAAAAATTTCCCCATGTAATCCGATTAATCGATTAATCGTGTCGAGACCCCATCCGATTCATCGATTATCCAAATAATCGTTTGTTGCAGCCCTAGTATTCAGTTAACTGCCGGGTATCATATTTTGGCCGGTGTCTGAGTCGGCGGAGGTCAATAATGGCCGGTATTTTATTGTGGCCGGGTGGAATGTGGTAACAAGCAAGTACGGGGGGCGGTTGTGTCATCCGTCTCACTTTTGATTTGCCAGTGACAGACGGTGAGGGTAACTTTAACCGTGCGGAGACGAAGAGGAGGCGAAAATTTGATATCAAGTTCAAAGAGAACGTGCTGATTATGCTGCAGAACACTCTGGGGAGCAGTAGGGGTTGTATGAACTAGTCACTAGTCGACTTCACCGCTCTATAGTGACTTGTTATGCCTGTCATCGACTAGTCGCTGCCACGTGATAATGACCGGCAAGATGCAGTCCTCGGAAAAGACAGCAGCCTGCTGTCAGCAGGTGACAAGCTCCTGTGCGTCGGGGGGGGCAACGCGCTGTGCCAGAGCGTCGGTACTGACACCCACCGTAAAACGGCCATAATTGTGTCATTTACCCTCTTGCAATTTATCCTTCTCCTCACCCCCATCCTAACCTTAACCAGCTTGCGCATGCAAAGCTCTTGATCGCTGACGCGCTCCAGACATCTGCGTCCTGAGCACGGCCACAGTAACATTATCAAATCAGGTGTCGCCACCTCAAAAACTAATTTAACACGCAATCGTTCATGTCGGCTCATTTCCTTTTATGTTTTCTGTCTTTTATTTGCGCCTGATGCGTTTCGCTGTTGTGGAGC